TGGTTAGAAAATGAATGGGAAAGCTGCTAATGTTCAAAATGGCTTGTGTTTAAGGGGGAAGTTCTTGGCCTTCAACAAAATCACCTTGCTGGTTAAACTGCTAGCAGGAAGAGCCCTTCACAGTTGTGGAGATCAGTGCAAGTGCAGTAGCCAAAACAGCCCAACAGTATTTGATGCAAATGCTACAAACAATTTATGAGATTTTTGTCCTATATTACCAGTGATTTCAAGTATGTTTATATGTTTTTTATATGTTAATTTTAAAAACATATAATTTTAGTTTCGAGTGTTTAGGTCTCTCCCCATTCAAAGAGATAGAAGTCTGAACTTGTATGACTGGAAATAATTGCCCGGCGGTGTTGCCAAGATTGCCACTAAGTAAACAGACTATGGTTGGGCTCTGCTCAACTTTATGCAAATAAGCTGTGACACAGGCTGGCGATAACCATTTAGAAAGTATGTTTGTACGTCCTGTTGAAACAATGCACTGACTTTGATTCCTGCTGAAGATTTGTTCCATTGCATTTAGGTGAAAATATGGATTCTGTGTTTAAATACTGAGATCTCAATAAAAAAATAACAAGATGTGGTAGAAAAAAATGCCTTCTGATTTTTTTTAATGATAACCATGAAACTGTAGTGAAGTGATAGCTTAGCAAAGCCTCATTGTTATAGGTCAAGCGGTTTTGTTCAAAGGACATTGAAAGACATGTAGCATCTGCTTTTCTGAAACAGATGCAGGCACTTGTGATCAAGTGTTAACAATGTGAACAAAATAGTTTAGCCTACTAAGCATTTCTGGTCAGATGGAGTATAAATTGAAAGAAAAAACATAAGTAAAATATTGCGAATTTGTTGTTTTTATTTTGATATCATCTTTCAAATATTTTGTCTCATGCGATGTTAACAAATACAGCGCTGGGTGATACTGGCTCCTAGGCTCTAAGAAATGTAGTTTGCATGACCATGCGATCCAATCGAACTAACTGCCTACCTGTAATCGCGTCGATACGCCCACCAGTAACAGGCTGAGGCCTGCCCGAGTGACACTGAGCAATTTTATCACCAGTGCTGCCCAGGGTAAGGGATAAAGAGAGGTGGTAAAATGGTCATGTAAGCATTAACTTTAACCATTTTTGTATTACAGTTAGAGCCGAAAGGATACAATAAAATACAAAAAATGTAGACTATGGAATATTCACATTTGATGCCCATCAAAAAATCCTAAATCAGCCAAATCAGCCACTGTAAATAGCCATCTGTACTATCAGCAATTAAGCATTAGGAGCTTTGCACTGGTAACAGTGTAATGTGCATGTAACACTGGAAGGAGCTGGACTGGAGAGCACATTTGCATCAGCATATCCAAAAAAGTTCCTTAAGAAACTTACAGCAAATCTTAATTTCATATCCTTCTAGAAAGGTAATCTAGTCTAAATAACAATGTGCCTGCACATGCATAAGAACAGTTTGTGTGTGAATAATTTTGCTGAGAATCTTTAACTGTAACCATGAGAACAGATTCAGCATGCTCAGACAGAAACACTGAAGTGGTGGTTTGTGTGGACAACATAGCTGCGTCTAACATTAATAAAAGCAGAACAAATGAGTGACACATCAACATCAAAAGCAGTACAGCCGACCGCTGAGATTTTGTAGAGGGGAAGTACATGGAACGAGACATCAGCCACATGAGCTACACTGGCTCTAATGAAACTGCTTCCACCCTGCATTTCATCTTCCCTCACAGTCAGAACAAATGAAAAATATATTAGACAGAATAATTGGCTGCTTCTGAATGTGTCATTCTCATCCACAGAGTTTAAAGACCACAAAATGGAAAACCCACACTTTCAATTTATTTGCTGAGTTTAACATACTGGAAAAAATAAAACATAAAATATAAAGTTTTGCACAGGCCACATTTTATTTTTTCACATTATTTTAAAATTCATGACTGTCTGCCTGTCTATCTATCTATATATGCCTGTATATCTGCCTGTCTCTCTATCTATCTATCATCTATCTACCTACCTACCTACCTATATGCCTGTCTTTCTGTCTCTCCGTCTGTCTGTCTATCTATCTATCTATCTATATGCCTGTCTTTCTGTCTGTCCATCTGTCTGTCTATCTATCTATCTATCTATCTATCTATCTATCTACCTGTATGCCTGTCTTTCTGTCTCTCCATCTGTCTGTCTTTCTGTCTATCTATCTATCTATCTATCTATATGCCTGTCTTTCTGTCTCGCCATCTGTCTGTCTGTCTGTCTATCTATCTATCTATATGCCTGTCTTTCTGTCTCGCCATCTGTCTGTCTGTCTGTCTGTCTGTCTGTCTGTCTATCTATCTATCTATCTATCTATCAGGGCTGGACCTGAATATTCAGCTATTTGGATATCTGATTGTTGGGTAGGTATTCGGTTTTTAATTTTGGGATTCAGATATTCAGGGTATTTTTGTGTTAAATGTAGGTTATCAATACAGGTGAACTGCAAAATACTGCAATTTTTGGGGTTCACACCATTTATCATTTCTGTTGCCCATATCACCCCATCTTAACCTCCCACCAGTCATGGAGAAACTGTTAGCAGCTGGGACTGTTGCTTTCCCCGTCAGCCAGCCCTCAGGTCCAGCGAAAAATCAGCCCAGTTTCTCCTCCACCCTCATCTACTGCCTCAGGGACCCAACGACCCCCCTCCCCCACGTCACATTCACCAATCAAGAAAATTGCCAGGTTAAAGCTCTGCCAAATTGATGAACTAATAAACTCAGCTCCTCCAACATCTGTACCACCCCAAAGAAAGAGACAAGCTCCTCAACCGATGGAAAAGCAGCTTCACTCTCTACCTCATCATGAGCAGGAGCTCCACCCACCCTCCTCCACCGAAAGGGAAGCAATCACCCCATTTTCAAGTAATCCAACAAAGTGGATTTGGGTCTGTGCTGCGACAGTATTGATTTCAGAAGTTACATGTCTTCAAAACCAACTCGGACCCTGTGTGCCGCTATCTATCTATCCATTCCAGTACTTACCAGAAACAGACAGAACAGGGAGTACACGTCAGACAACGTGGTTGTCTCCAATATACAGTTTGTAAAATGTGAGTCACAGCTTCTGGAGCAAAAGGCACAGGTTACTAACTTAGCTCTTCTCAATATTACATCTCTCACAAACAAGTCTTGATTAATGATTTGATTACAGCTCATGGGCTTGATTTTATGCTTTTAATAGAAACATGGTTGAATAAATGTAGTGCTGAAACCATACAAATCGAGTCAGATCACCAAACTGCAACTTTAGAAATGTCTCACATGCCACCAAGAAATGTGGAGGTGTAGCTGCTTTATTTGACGATTCTTTCCAATGCAAACAATTATCAGTGGGTGATTTCACATCCTTTGAGTATCTCTGTGCGGTTCTGAAAGCGGCACCAAGTATATTACTAGTAACTGCCAACCGGCCTCCGAAGCGCAATGTAATTTTATTGATGAATTTACAGATGTTATCTTTTACTTCCTCAGATTTTGGTTTTCGCTGCTGTTTTTTTAACATACATATTGACAATCCCAATGACAATTATGCAAAGGAACTCTGTGCTATATTGGACTCTTTTGGCACACTGTCATGGTCATACTCTGGATGATCTCAAAGGGTCTCAACATATCAGCCACTGTTAAGGATGTCGCTTTGAAATGTGGACCTCGACAGATATCGAGACTCTACATGTTTGCGTTTAGAAAAGGTTTATAAATGACAACACTTTTCATGGGCAAAATGTGCTCTGCACCATGCAAACCATCTGATTCTGTTGATGCTTTGCTGGATAGCTTCAACTCAAAAATTGTCGGTGTTATGGATGCGATTGCACCAGTTAAAGTTACAACCATGTCATGCCCACAGAAAGCAACATGGAGGAATGCTACTGCAGTTCAAATCCAAAAGGGAGAATGTAGGAATGCTGAAACTAGATGGCAGAAGACCAAGCTTCAGATCCACAAAGAAATCTTAAAGATATCAAAGAGTTTCAAAGATAGGCTGCGTGATTATTCTCTATTCACAACTCCTTCATCTCAGCAATGTTTACCTCTCTACAAAACTATGTGAATAGACTATAAGGTAAAGACATTTAAGGTCAATGTGTGTCCATATCAATTTTACTCAGTATTTTATACTGACTAATGGAAGGAATAGATAAAGTAAATCCATCCATCATCTAAACCGCTTATCCTTCTGGGTCGCGGTGGGGTGCTGGAGCCTATCCCAGCTGTCATTGGCTGGAAGGCTGACAGCTGACAGATAAAGTAAATGTCAAATATAAATATAAAATATGTAGTTAGTGAAATTCTGAAAAGAAATAGATAAGAGTTTCAAAATATCTTTAATGATCATCAGTGCATTGAATTGATTTACTCTTAATAAGAGCATTTCAAAATACTATATTGTAAAAAAAAGTTCCAAGATTCAGAAGGAAAAATTGAAGAATTGACACTATTGGCTAAAATTATTCATCGTTTTGTGTATCAATTTACATTATACAGTGTACAATGTCATGTACATGCTGCCTTCTCTGTGGCTGCAAGTAGCCCTGCATTTAAGGATAACTCCACCAATTAAAATTTCAACATAATTCTATCATTGAAATGTAATTACAATTAATCAGAGTGGTTTGATGTGAAATGGAGCATTGTTGAGAAAGTTACAGACTCAGATTTCCTACATGTCTTCTGAGGTTTCACATGTAATGGTATATGATGGTAAACGAGTGATAAATCTAAAAAAAACTTTTCTTTGGGGACTATTTTTCCTCTATGCCTTTAATTGATTTAAAAAAACCATGTTTTAGGCCAAAAGCTTCTCAAAAATAATAAAACAAATGTCTCAGGCATCAAGCAGCGAATTCATAACCATTTCATGTAATAACTTTCTGTGAAGGAGCTTTTACAGGTAGTAAAATTCTCAGACGTCTGGTTCCTATCACCACCACTGTGAACAATTCTGACTCTGTAAGTTTCTCTACAGTGGGAGCATTTCACATCAGACCAAATGACTTTGTTTACATTTTGATGACGTAAATATGCAAAAGAAGAGAAGAAAAAGTGGTGCAATTTCCCTTTAACTTGCGAATGCTGGAAAGTCATTGACTGAAAGGTGAAAGTGAACAGAAAAAATGACTCCATCTGCAATTCAAACTTACATCCTGTGAATCATTCTGAACGCATGGTGAATTTTCCTTTGCTCTTTATTGCTCTGTATTTTCCTAAAAATTCAAATCTACAACCCCTCTCATTCTATAATCCTCCGTGGAGGTTAATTTTGGCAAAAGAGACAGTCTCAAAATAGTCCTTACGACCTTTCTCATAGATGATGAAGATGTGTTTCTTATCCTCAGGATGGTCTCCTTTGAGTGATGTTAAAGCGGAATACCCGCTCGGCCCCTGCCAAATCTGCAATACTTCTTTTTCCCATGACTTACCGTCAGTCAGAGACCAGCGGAGAGTCAGATTGACCCCTGGAGGTGAGAGAAAAAAGAAAATATAAAAACAGAAGCAATGGAAGTAAGGCAATTTGACTGTGCCATTTGAACATTCTAGTACATATTATGCCTTCTATAAGAATTTGAGCAGTTTTAGTCATACGAAAAATTTAGTGCACCCCTGGTCAAACGACATTTTGTTAATTTTCTAAGTGAACATAAGCTAACACATCATCCTCTACAGGGAACACACCTCAGCACATTTTAATGCACATTTACTGTTTATTCACTTAATGTGACAAACTGGAAAAATTCAAATTCAAATTTAAGTTTTTTCCCCAAACAGCAAAAATATTTCACTTAGAAAATCACCAAAATGTGTGGAAATTGACCAGGGATGTTCAAACTTTTTTAACTACATTAAAAAAAAAACAACCATAACAAAAATTTCTTTTACACCACCTATTTTAAGTTATCCTAATAATTAGAATATCTCATCTAAAATAAGAGGACAAAACACAAAAATCATTATTCCAAAGGTGTAAAATATACTAAATGTTAAACTATAAGGTTGCTGTCTTATGATAAGATCTTGTATAAGACCCTGAAACAGTAACATTACAGGAGGAAGAAAACACATTCCTTACTTTAGTGGTTGTAATATATGTTTTTCTAGCAAGTAATTCTGGAGCATTTCCATTGGTCCATTCATCACGAAAATTTGACACCATGTAAAGGGCAGCTGGCATTTTGAAATGGTGTTGAAAAAAAGGGGGGGGTTGATTTTCCTGTGGTTTTGATTTTCCTGTGGTGATAAATAAAAGCTGACATACTGTACTTTTGCTTGACATTTACCATTTCAAGGTTAAAGGTGTAATCTGTCAAAAAAGCAGTGATTAGTAATTTCTAAAGTAAAGCAGTAAATTTGGGGAATGAAAACACCAACTGATCCAGTTTTGAAAGCAGATTTTTTTTCATTTCGTCCACAGCTACACAACCGCAGGGGGGCTTCACTGTTGTATTTTGCACTTCATAACATGTCATGTTTTCAACAGGAGACAGGTCCTGCTCTCTCTGATTACTCAGCCATGCTGTTAACTTGCAGAATGTGGCTTGGCGTTGTCATGTTGAAATAAGCATGGATGTGTCTGAACAAGACGTTGTCTAGAAGGCAGGAAATGTTGCTCCAAAATGTGTTCAGCATTAATGGTGCTTTCACAGATGTACACAGTTGAACTTTATGCTGGTAACAATCTGGATGGTCCTTTTCTTCCTTGGCCTGGTGAATGTGATGTTTATTTTTTCTAAAAACAATGCGACCACAATACACATTTCCACTGCCCAGAGAAGTCGGAGGCGTTTCTGGACACTGCCGATACATGGCTTCCACTGTGCAGAGTACAGTCTTAATTTGCATTTGTGGATGCAGCAATGAACAGTGTTTATTGATAACAGTTTGCTAAAGTATTCTTGAGCCCATGTAGTTATATCCATGACAGAAGCATGCCAGCTTGAGGGATCAAAGGTGTATTCACTTGCGTTTTTTTGCCTTGCCCTTTATGCACAGAGATTTCTCTAGTTTCCCTGAATCCTTTGATGATAGTATGTACCTTGTCGTCGCTTGTTGAGGAACGCTGTTCTTAAACTGCTGCATTATTTGCCGATGCATTTTTTGGTGAGCCTCAGTCTATTCATGCTAATAAAGGACTAGGCTTTTCCTGGATGCCCTTGACTCAAATTGCCCCTGTCTGTATTGCAGACATCATTATCAGAATGAGCAATACTTACAAAAAACAATGAAGCTGCTAAGGTAAAACATTAAATCTCAGCTTTGTATCATTTTTGTGTACGTTGATTCACTGCTGTCTGTTTTAATTTATTCTTCACATACTGTCCCAAGTTCTATGGAATTGTGGTTTGTAATATAACATATAGATCTAACCATAAATACAGTATGTGTACATTACTAGTTTACTATTATATATGTGCCATACTGTCGCGTTGCAGTTTAGACCCCCACCCCAATCCACTTGTGCTCACTTTGTTGAGAGCTGGCTGGGTTGCTGAAGTACAACACTCCATCTTTCTGTAGAGCTCCAGCTGCCACCACAGGATCCACCAGCGTGTGGTCAAACACCAGCTCCTCCATAGGCAGCGTCTCGCCCCCGTCCAGACTCCGCACCACCATCCGGCAGTGGCAGTGGTAGTTGTTCTGGTTTCGCACACTGATGAGTATGCTTCCATCCTGAAGTTCCACTGGCTGCATTGAAATTTTGTAATTTATTTATTGAACTTAATTCACTCTGAATAGTTAAGATAAGACAGAAAGCAAAGAACTAGCCAATGGGCTTCTAAACAAAAAAAAGGCTTTTAAATATTACATACAGTTGAGGTCAAAATTTTACATACATCTAGGCTAAAGTAATTGAAAACTCCATACATTTCATATTATCATCTTTTTTTTGGCAAGTCACTGAGGGTATCTACTTTATTCACATAACAGTAAAGTTGCCAGTCCTTTTAAACAGTCTGGAAGATTCCAGAAATTCATGAAATGAATGACAGAAGCCTCTGATTGGCCAATTGCCAAAATGAGGAGTTCACTGAGTGCAAATGTGGCTGTTTTGAAGGACCTACTTTCAAAGACGGTGCTAAGGAAAAACCAGGCAACTCAGCCAAGACCACAGAAACAAAATTGTGGACCTCCACAAGTCAGATTCCTCCTTAGGAGCCCAACTGAAGGTACCACAAGCACCAAATATAAAAACTTGGGACCACACAGATACTGCATCATTCAGGAAGGAGGCACAAAATTAACTCTAAGGGATGAAATACACAGACTGAAGTTTGTAGGTGATCAACAGGACAAAGACCCAGGAAAAGTGTTCTCTAATGAGATGTATCAAAAATGGAACTGTTAAAATGTTATAATCATCTCTATGGAGGCTTTTAATCCAAAGAACACCATCCCAACTGTGAAGCATGGGGTGGCAGCATCATGCTGTGGGAGTGTTTTGCTGGAAAAGGGACTTCGGAAAATAGATGGCATCATGATGAACGAAGATTATTTAGAAATACTGAAGCAACACTTCAAGCAAGGCAAATCTTGGTCACATCTGGGTCTTCTAGCAGGGCAATGATACTAAGCGTTCCTGCATTTAGTTGTGACAGAATGGTTTAAATACAACAAAGCAAATGTGCTGAAGAGGCCATCATGAAAAAGCATGTTTGAGAAAGGAGGCCCAATAACCTGACTGAGTTACCCCACCTCTGTCAAGAGAACTAGGCAAACATTCCAGCAAAGTATTGTGAGAAACTTATACAAAGCTGCACAGAGTGTTTGGTTCAAGTTAAGCAATGCTACCAACATCTGCTTTTAAAATTTTGACCCACTGAAAATGTAATATAGTAAATAAAACCTGATAAAAAAAGCATCTCTCAGCTGTTACTTTGAAATGATCTCTTATGGAATTAAAGTACATACCCTAATCAACATAATACAGGAAATGTATGGTAACATGAAATGTGTGGAGCTGTGAAAATTTGAATGTCTTTATGGTAGATGTATGTTAACATTTGCCTCAACTGCAAGCCCTTAAAATGAGTTATACTCTACTCATTCTATAAGTATTCTAATATTTGACTAGTATTCTGTGGTACCCCCTGATTTCTCTCATAAATTGAGGATATCAAAGCCTAAACAGATCAATAGTTAGCATTTTTCCTTTCATATTCGCCACCCTTGAATATGAAACTGACATGTATCTACACTTGTATGTGTTTTCTCTAAATTCCATTGTACACTGTTAATAAAGGTACAAACAATGTAAATGTTTCCTCAAAGGTACAACAGTGATTTTAAGGTCCGACTGTGCACCTTAAATAAGTTTTTCCAGGTAAAAAGTATGTATTTTACCTTTTCATAATGTTTTAAAACAGAACAATAAAATAAAAACCCTGGAGACATGACGGAGTGTGTGGAGTCAATACAACTTAGAAAATATAAATTTAATCGATTATGGTACAATTATGTTCCCTGACAAAAGGTACCCAGTGAGAAGAGGGGAACTGACCCAGTTACAGATTTCTACCTTTATTTCTGAGAGTGTACAGTGATCCTGGGTGGATTCAAAACTTTTTTTTTTTTTTTGAGCAAAACTCTGTTTTTCTTGATAGTAATATGTCAGTGTAAACACTGAACCCAGTGTCTGTCACCTGGCATTCGTCTGGGTTGAAGTCCAGGCTCTGTTTGGGCTGGTTGTAGGGGATACTCTTCAGCGCGGCTCCGTTTCTCCACGTTCGCCCATGATCATCGCTCAGGATGCAGAAAACGCCATCACCCTTAATAGTGCCATGACCACACACCACCAGACGGCCTTTAGCAGGCGGATAGCGTTTCTGTCACATTTAACACAAATGGGCAGTCAAAGTTTTTTCATAGTGTACCAAAAATTCATGCGATAGTTTGGTGTTGGAGGTTTGCTACTTTAGTTTTGCAATTTTATTCTTAACAGTATTTTGTAATAATACTGTAGTATCACTAAGAAATACTGTCTCAAAAAAAATTCCCCAACCCCATGACCCCCCAACAGCCCCAACCCTACACCCTCACCCCGGCCCAGCCCACTGAAATCTCATTATTTCACTAAAATAAAAATGTAAAAGTTGGCAGCCCTGAAATATTGACTGAAAAAAGAAAAAAACATCAAAATCAGAAGACGGGATCTGAACCTGAATGCCGAAGCCAGGCCCTGGAATGAAGCTCTTGACCCCCAGCTGGACAGAGAGGTTGCGAGGAGCGCTCCAAGTCAGACCATCATCCAGGCTCTCCACCAGCATGGTGCTTGGGGGGCTGCAGTGGTAGCGGTAGAAGCACAGAGAGTAGATCAATATTAGAGCACCTGTGTCTTCATCCACAACAATAGATCCCAAGTTTGACCCATCCGTGTGAATCCCATCATCTACTATGAAGGACGTGGGAGACCATGTAGCTCCTGTGAATAGAAGAGAGAAGAGAAAGAGCATTGAAGGAGATCTGCTGCTTGAGTTCCACTGTACCTATTACTACTATACTACACACTATACAGATGTTGACTTACCAGTAACATATCCTTCCACTGACATTATCGTAAGTCATTTCTGGTTCTTGCACTAGGCACTTTTTCCTGTACATTATACTGACACGCTTATAAAAATAAAAGTGCCAAAGAGGTTTTTTAGGGTGATGCCATAGAAGAACTACTGTTATTCCATAAAGAACCTTTTAATAGATGGTTCCTTAAAGGAAAGATTCTGCAAAAAATCAAGTTTACACAGTTTTTCATTTATCCCAGCTGTAGTTGATCAGCTGAGACGTCTGGAGTCCAAATTACGCTTCTTAATTTAGAACTGGACCAGTGAGGCTAACGTTGCTAACAAACACTAGAACTCAATAGTCACCTAAACAGCGCAAATTATTTCTGTAAAAATACATGACCAAACTCCTCTTACTCTGCTCGAACTGCATCCAGGTCTTCATTATGGAGTGCTGATCTAGTATCAGTTTTTGTTGCAGCAAACAGTTTAGCCTGAAATGTTCCTTCATCACAAGTTCAGTCTTATTAAGTTCTCAATGTTGTTTTGCACAAAAAAATAAAAATGTTTTATCAGGTGGGAAAATCTTTTTTTTTTTTTTTGGAAAAATCATTATGTAAGTGAACATATTACATATTGATTTTGCACAAATAACTGATTCTTGACACAAAAAAAACCTCCAATAAGCATGTCCATGTGGCACCGGTCTCATGGCATGCCATTAAATAGATGAAGTGCTTCTCAACTTCTTAATACATTCTGATTCTGCACTAATATGTAAATCAGAGACCAAGACTAAACGGCTGGAGATGGACACTATAAAAGTGATGACCTCTGTCTGGGGACCGTCTCAGGGCTATAAATTTGGCCTCCATGTCACCGCTGGATGTCTTCCGGCCCTCAGCAAACGCCAGCAGGCTTCCGCGGGTGGTGAAGGTCAGCAGGGGGATGCGGTATGTGTGCACTTCTCCAGCTCCACCGCCCACCCATAGCAACTTCTCTTCAGTAATAATGGGGTTAAACTAGTAGAGATCAGATAAGGCAAAGAGCAAGAGAGACAACAAAGCTTTTATATTACACAGACTTCTTTCTGTATCTTTAAATGGCTATGAAATTGAGTTTAGTTTTAGATAGATTCAGGGAATCTTTTCTGAAGTTAGGCTTTTTAAATAAACTTTCTTTTTTTTATTTTATTTTAAAGGGGCCATAGCATGGAAAATTAAATTTTCTCTTTTACAATTTGTTTGATTTCACTGTTGTTGTGAGGTCACAAAAACCAAGACATCTACCTAAATCCACCTATTCAACTACAGCCCATCCCGCCCATTCATCTTGACGTTGGTCTCAGCTTAGATTACTTCTTCAACAAAAACAGCCTGTTTAGTTCTAAGGAATAAAGAGAGGTTGGAAAATGGTTGTGTGAAAATGAATTAGAACTGTCACAAGTGGACCTCAGGGGGGAAAATAAAATACAAGAAAAATGCACTGATATGGGCCCTTTAATATATTTTGCTGTAATAACCCCAGAAGTGCAAGAGGGCCCATATACAACAACATTTTTCCCCATTTAAAATATTCATATGAGTTTATTAAAAAAAACAGTCATAATTCATTTTTAGATTACCATTTTTAATCTCTCTTAATCCGTTAGGATTAAACAAGGTGCTTTAATTACTGCATCTTTATCAGAATCAGAATCACTATATTTCACGAAGTATGTTACACATACAAGGAATCTGTCTTGGTGAGTCACACGTATACATGTATGACATGTAACATATTAAACAGACCAGACAAGCAAACAGACTGTTAACAAGTACGTAGTTAAGGGAAAAATTAAATACAAATACAATAAGAAGAATAAAAAATACTGAACAATTAATAATAAAGAGCCATGGAGGAGCTGAATAGAAGTGTGAATATCTGTACATATGCAGATAAGAATACCTGTACATATGAAGGTCTGATGACATATACTATAAAAACTACTATATACAGAATATTACAGAATGATATGTAAAGGCAATAGTTCTATTTAGAACAATGAGTTCTATATAGAACCATTTCATGCTTAAATGGTACTTTGCATGGGGAAACGGTTCTTCAGATTTACAGAGACTGCATGTGGTTATAGGACCGTTTTGAAAAATAGTTCTATGTAGCACCAAAAAGAGAGCTGTTATGATGTCAAGCTTGCAACACAATAGAAGAACCCTTTTCGGTGCTATTTTCAAAAAGGTTCTATATAGAACCACAACACATTCTCCATCAATCTAAAGAACAATTTCAACATGAACTGGAACAGGAAAATTCCAACTTGTGGTTCTAAATAGAACCCCATCTTTTAAAAGTGTGCAGCCTTTTAAAAATAAACAATGATTGTTCCTTTAAACTTAAAGAAGTGTGGGTGAGTTTGAAAACGTGTTCTGTGTGAATGGCCAGGACAGTGGAGGGCCCAGCTTTTAAACTGAAAATTTAGGCTTTGAAAATGTTTCTGTGCCTTTTCATTGACACTGGAAAACTTTCAGCTTCCTTTTAGCAGAAAATATTCAACATATTTAGCTTGAGTTCATCAGAGTTGACGTTATTTATCACAATAATTACACTATAATATGAGGAGGCAAGGCTAGAGTCCTTCTCGCCAACTTCCTGTTCGAATTTTCCCGTTCCACCTTAAATGGTGCAGCAGTTCCTTCCTGGCGCCTCAGGCAAAGGGGGCTCCAGAACGTAACTGCGGCGCCATTTAAGGTGGAACGGGGAAATTCCATTAATCGTCCTCAGCAACGTCAGTTGTTTGTTTACTTCCTTGCCTGCAGGAGTTCCTGCATCAAATGTTCCTCGTCTAAAACAAGCTACTGCATGCCAAGTGGTCCTACAGACCACTCAACCGGTGAAACAGACAAAACTCAAAAGTCTCTCGGTCTTTTAATCAGAAAACAAACTTTATTTTTTACCTTTATATTGCCTGCGATGGAGACATGGATGAACCAAACCGAAAGCAGCAGCCCGAAGAGCTTCATGGCTGATTAGTCTACAGAGTAACGACCGCTCTGCTAACCTGCTCGTATAAACGCTGACTAGAGCACATGACTGCGAAGTTCACGACTTTATGACTCCATCATAACACCATCGGGCTACAGTCCAACAGATCACTTCTTTAGTGTAAGGTTTAACGCTGAGGCACTATTTCCCATTTCAGTGAAGGGAAAATGTGGTTTAGAAAGAATATAGAATCTTTTCCTAAATGCATAAATGAATCAATGAACATATGAGTGAACTGAATGAATGAATCTTCTGTATGACGGCCTAAACTGCATACATTAACCTCCCTGGCTCAATCACCACCATAACCTCACCCCTTTTGCATTTTGCAATGCTCTTTGGCATTTTGTCTGGCAAACTCCTGCTGTAATGAGCATTAAAGGGCCCATATGCAACATTTTTCTTGTATTTTACCCCCCCAGATCCACTTATAACGCTTCCCACAAGCAAACAAAGTCTTTTTTTATTTATAAGTATAATTGATTTTTCCATTTTCCAACCTCTGTTTACCCTTTAGAATAAAGCAGGCTGTTTTTGTTAGTGTGCCTTTAAGGCTCATATATGTAAATGAACTCTGTTCTGATTGGCTGCCCTGTATTGTGCCTCAGTCAAAAAGCTGGGCTGAAACATTACTTATAACTTCAGCGTGAAAAGTGATTTTTGTGACATCACAGAGACCGTGAATTTAAAACGGGCCGTTTTTGCAGCTTAGCTTCCAAATACGGACTGTAAGGACTGAGCAGCGACCAGTTTGTTGTGAAACTTTCGCAATGTTTGTATACATCAGATTCTTTTATTTAAAAAAAAAAGTTAGGAAAATTCAGTTTTCAACAATATGAGCCCTTTAAAGGCAAATTGTGCTGATTTTTCAAAATGTCCTAATAATCAAGCATAAATAAATCTTTGAGATACAAACTAAATAATTCAGAGAAGTTTGATGTGAAAGGGAGCATTGTATAAACTCAGTGGTGGTGGCAATTGTAACCAGGGGTCCTGATATGTACAACACAAATAATGTAATACTGACAATGGTAGTGTTAAATTCATAAAAAGCATATCATTATTATCATTAGGCCTAATTTTTTCTTACAATACTCAGTGGGTATTTAAAAAATACATTTTAGAGGAAACTTTCATCACAAAATAAATCATAAATCAATATCTCATGCATCAAGCAACATATTCAAAATTACTTTGCATTTTAAATATATGTATATATAATCCTGCGTCCTGTGGGCAGCATCCTGTGACCACTGATGAAGGACTAGAGGATGACCGACACAAACTGTGCAGCAGCAGATGAGCTATCGTCTTTGACTTTATCCACAAGGTAGACTGACAAGGTAGGAGTGTCTAATAGAGTGGACAGTGAGTGGACACAGTGTTTAAAAACTCCAGCAGCACTGCTGTGTCTGATCCACTCGTACCAGCGCAACACACACTAACACACCACCACCACGTCAGTGTTACTGCAGTGCTGAGAATGATCCACCACCCAAATAGTACCTGCTCTGTGAGGGTCCATGGAGGTCCTGACCACTGAAGAACAGAAGAAAAGGGGGCTAACAAAGTATGCAGAGAAAAAGATGGACTACAGTCTGTAACTGTAGAACTACAAAGTGCTCCTATATAGTAAGTGGAGCTGATAAAATGGACAATGAGTGTAGAAACAAGGAGGTGGTCGTAAGGTTATGCCTGATCGGTGTATATATATATGTATATACACACACACATACATACACACATTATATATATATATATATATATATATATATATATATATATATATATATATATATATATATATATATATATATATAGACAGTATGAAAAAGTTTGCCCCCGATCATCCAACTATCTATATGATAGACAAGACAATCAAACACAAAATGCAGCTTTTAAATGATCATTCTATTTATTAAAGATAAAGATTTATTCAAAACCTATATCACCCATGTAAAAAAATAATTGCTCCCCTAAACCTAACAACTGATTGTGCCAATCTTGGCAGTAACAACTTCAATCAAACTTTCGCAATAACTTGTGATGAGTCTTTTACATCGATGTGGAGGAATTCTGACCCACTCTTCTTTGCAGAATTGTTTTAATTCAGCTACTTTGGAGGTCTTTTGAGCATGAACTGCCCGTTTAGGGTCTTGCCACAGCATCTCAATGGGATTTAAGTCAGGACTTTGACTCGGCCACTCCAAAACCTTAAATTTGTTTCTTTTGAGCCATTCAGAGGTGGACTTGCTTGCGTGCTTCGGATCATTGTCCTGCTGCATAACCCAACTGCGCTTGAGCTTCAGGTCACCAACTGATGGCCAGATATTCTCCTTCAGGATTTTCTGATGGAGAGCAGAACTCATGGTTCCATCAGTTATGATAAGACGTCCAGGTCCTGCAGAAGCAAAGCAGCCCCAGACCATCACACTACCACCACCATGTTTGACTGTTGGTATGATTTTCTTATGGTGGAATGCAGTGTTAGCTTTATGCCAGATATAATGGGACCCATATATTCCAAAATGTTCCACCTTTGACTCATCAGTCCACAGAATACTATTCCAAAGGTTTTGGCGGCCACCTAGATCTTTTTTGGCAAGTGTGGTGTCAGCAGTGGTTTGAGCCTTGCAGCTCTCCCATGGATGTCATTTTTACCCAGCGTCTTTCTTTTAGTGGAATCATGTACGCTGACCTGAACTGAGGCAAGTGAGGCCTGCAGTTCTTTAGATGTTCATCTGGGTTCTTTTGTGACACAGCATCGGGTTTGGCACAGTATGTGGCTCACACTTGGCCTGACTTCTTCAGATGATGATCTTGGTTCGAAATAAAATCTCTTGGCTGGCTGCTCGCAAATTGTTGACTTGTGGAGTCGTTGTAGAAGTTATTGAGAATAAACTAGATGGAGTCGTGCACTTTTGAGGAGAAGTTAGATTTATGTCAAGACGTCTTTGAACAGAGACATTCACAGATCACCGCTTCAGTTCCTTCTCCCACAAAGGGTGACAGCAAACAAAAATTATAGCGAGTGTCATCGCCCTTAACTGGCCCAAACAGTCTTCTTGCTCTAAGTCTCAAGGTTATGTACCCATGATAAAGATAAAGAGGCATAAGAAAAGTACAGAACATTCTAAGGTGACCTGACAATGACTATTCTGATAAACAGAATCAGACAAAACCAGCAAATAGGAGTTATACAATTAACCACAATCCAACAGTCACTGATGTGTTCTTGGTGAAATTTTGGTAGGTCTTCCATTCTGGGACGGTTCACCACTGTCCCAAACAACCCAACAGTCAACTTAATTTGGTTCACTGGTTGATTGAGTAGCCAAGGGGGCAATTACTTTTTCACACAGGGCCAGTCATTTGTATTTCAATAAACTAAATCATAATTTAAAAACAACATTTTATGTTCCCTTAGTTGTCTTTTAATATTTGACAAAGAAGTTTGATGGTCTAAAACATTCAAGTGTGACAAATGTGCAAAAATAGAACAGATTGGGCAGGGGGCAGATACTTTTTCACAGCAGTGTGTATATATAAAACTTTTTTAATAACTGTCAAAGGGCAGCCCAACCTTGTGTCACAACAATTGATATACTGATTGGATATATGATATTAATGTGGTGGAAATCTTCACAGTATGGACAACAAGTGGACACACACACACTCTTGGATAAAGACAAACTTTGTCCATTTTGTTTACACAATGCATCCCAAAGCCATACAGACCATACAAAACAGAAGTGGCTTAAAAACAGTGTATTTTGACTTCACAGAAGTACAACTGGAGTTAAGACAAACATATAAATTGATCACTTACACACTTTCTCTTATCTTTTTGCATATATGACTTCATTTCCTGTTTGAAACAAAACAGTGAAGTCATATGTACATTAATATGAGACAGTGAGCTTAATGGTGCGCTTCTTTCACATTGTGTTGTAGCTGATCTCCAAAGGCCAGTATTAAGACATTAAAAATAACTAAAATGTCCAAGAGAAAGAGTACCTGAGCTCAAAAATGCATTCATACAGTACAACCAGTGAAAGAACAGTGATCTGAATACTGGACTGCTGGAGGTCCACACTAAATCCCAAAATCACTTGTTACAATTCTTGATTCCATTGTGCATTATGTGATTTAAAGGGGGTGCTCCTGGATTTTTCTTCAGCACTGGGTCAGCACACTTGTCAGTGCATGTATTAAACTACATCACTACCAAAAAAATACAAAAAGAAAACAAACAAAACAACTGTGCATATTAATAGCCCTTAGGGCCTCATATATCAAACTTCTAATTCACTCATCCTTAAGACTACACAGTGGTATACAAAAGTGTGAACCCCTCTTACATGTTTTGTTTATTTTCTAAGTGTAAATGAGATAACATCTTCTAAAGGGAATTTTATATATTTGAGATTAACATATTGGATAAAATAAAACATAAAATAAAAAAATGCACCATAACTTTTGCACAGGTCACATTTTATGTTTGAATTTTTTGCCCAATTTGTTAAATTCTGAAAAAAAAAAATCTTCAGAGGACGTGTTCACTTATTTACACTAGGAAAATGAACTAAACATATAATCTGACCAGGGCTGCCTAAACTTTTGCATATGACTGTACGTGCACAGAAGAATGAAATGCAGGCAAAAATAAACCACTTGCATTTTCAATGGAGAGTGAAAGCAGCTCTTGATAGCAACCAAACAGCTACTATATCTCTGTTTTCATTAGCATGGAAGCGTAAAAAGACTCTTTATGAGATGCTGAGTTATTGCTGGTTGTATGGTACTTACCCTACACTAACAAAGTATTCATCAACGATTAATAAATGCAAAAGGGAAATATTCCTGGGCCTGAAGGTCAGGTCATCAGACACAGATGTGCTTCTGGAATCCATGTTAAACTCCAGTCCAGTAATGTTCAGCGTTTTTGCCATTTCAACTCATAAAACTATTACTGCGCATGCTGGGAGATGAATTAGCTGAGCTGGAGTGGGAAAATACTGAAACTGTTTGATGGCCTGTTTTAAAGAGGCCTTTGAACTGTTTGGCACAATTGGAAGAGAATCAGTTAGGCATCTTCTTGATGTTCTTCATGTTTTTCCATCCATGTTTGAAGAGACTGCACTCCTAGCTGGATTATTGGTGATGTTTTTAAGACAGAGACAATAAGCATGTTTACCTGTTAGACTCCACTTTAGCACAGGGGATCGACTTCTGTGTTACAGTTGCCAAACGTTTACAATCGTATGCAAAATTTTAACATCCCTGGTCAGATTACATGTTACGTTGAGTTTCAAAGTGAAAATAAAGTGAATACATCCTCTACAGAGAACACACTTCTGCACATTTTAATGCACAACTACTGTTTATTCACTGAATTTAACACATTGGGAAAAAAATAAAAAACATAAAATGTAGACTGTGCAAAAGTAATGGCACAATTTATATTTTGTTTTTTTCCCTATTATGTTAAACTTAGCAAATTAATAGAAATTGTGAAACTAAAATTCACAGAAAAAAAGTCATTTTTAATTGTGCTCCCTGTGGAGGATGTGTTAACTTATTTTCACTTAGAAAATCAACAAAACGTAATCTGACCGAGGGTGTTCAATATTTTTGTATGTGATTGTATGTTGTCTCAATCTGCCACAAGTGCAAACCATGACTTCCAGGTGGTCCAGTATTTAATGAGACATTTATGTAAATTTGATAAATGAGGCGACCATTTCCATTTCCCTTTTTCTTTCCATCGCACTGTCCGCGTTCGTTTTACCTGCCACCATACAGGTGTATCTTGGCGACAGAGACAGTCTCAACAGAGTTCTTATGGCCCTTCTCGTAGATGATGAAGACATACTTCTTATCTTCAACAGAGTTGCCGACAAGCGCCGTCATCGAAGAGTAACCGCTCGGCCCCTGCCAAATCTGTAGTGCCTCATTTACCCACGACCTACCATCTGTTAGAGACCACCGGAGAGTCATATTGATCCCTGGAAGAGAGAGAAAAGAAGAATAAATTAAACAAATGTGTCTTATTTTTTTTTATAATTTTATTTTACTCAATTTACTCCCTCTAGCTAGGTGTCCCCGATCACAAAATGCTACCAAACTGGGATGGTGAAGCCTAGCTCCTCTGAGTGAGCTGAAACACCAACACCTCTTTGCAAACTTCCGCTAATGCAAAGTCATTGGACACCTCAACATGCCTGGAGGAGAACTTGCAGATTTTCTGTAAAGCTGCTTTGTGACAACGTCTGATGTAAAAAGAGCTACATAAATAAATTTTGGCTTGCGTTGGCTAACATTGTGCTGAGTGATGGGGGGGAGTGGTGGTCTTAATATATTATTCTTAATTATTATTCTTAATAAGATTCTTATCTAAAATTGGAGGACCAAACACAAGATATTACTCTAAAATGGTAAAACAAACCTAGACATACCTATTAATAAAAGGTGGCATTATGCACTTTTGCTTCATATCTACTATTTCATGTTTTATCACAGCTTCAGTGTGATGTGGCTACAATCATATTTTCTCTTCACTGTCTGTAGTATTGGGCGGCAGGCCAGTTGAAATTCTTCCTCAGGTCTATGTTTCATCTGAACCATCAAACCAGTACGCCACATAAAGCACAGATAAACACAGACATATAAACCATGCAAACCACACAAACATTAGACCCTTAAGCTGGGTGGTTGAGTCAGAGATGTTTCGGTCACGTTTCGAATAACAATGAAACCACAGTAGACCCTCAGTCACCTCCCCCTGTCCAGGACACTGCATGCGAAGTAGCCTACTGTGTTTCTGAGCCAGGGGACATAAAGAAGTGGCCGGGCTTTTGGGGCTGGATACCGGACGGATGATGTCTTGCTGAGGAGGTCACAGTCTCCTGGCCTTGACTGCACAAACAGCCGTGGACCAGCTGGTACTGAAGCATGACTGACTGATATTTTTTTTGAAGTTCTAGCAGTGTCTGGCAGTCGGCGGTACCAGTACATATGACACACATATGAGACAAATGATTTGAAAAATTCAAAAAAGCCAACGCTGGCTTCTTTTGCATTTCCTGTTTCACTTTCAGCTGTGTAGAAATTCAGATATGTTTACATTGGTCAGGTTTGTTTACTATTTTGCACAATAAATATATTTCAGGTGTACTTTGGTTGGTTCTTAATAAAAAGTGAAGGGACATCCCAGAATAATAAGCCACACACACACACACACACACACACACAGTGATATATACTGAAAACATAAGAAATTTTAATTATACTGTCATAGTAATTTTTGGCTATACCACCCACTGCTAACTGTCCCAATATTTTTGAGGGTACGTATTCAACATAGTAAACTAGTAAACAGTCCCTTTCCTGTTTACAGCCCCCGTTCCACTTCTTGCCCCCTCATTCTTACTATGGTAGGAGTTGGCTGGGTTGCTGAAGTACAGCACTCCATCTTTCTGTAGAGCTCCAGCCGCCACAACAGGGTCCACCAGCGTGTGGTCAAACATCAGCTCTTCCACAGGCAGCGTCTCCCCGCCGTCCAGACTCCGCACCACTATCCGGCAACGGCAGTGGTAGTTGTTCTGGTTTCGCACGTTAATGACTATGCTTCCGTCCTGCAGTTCCACCGGCTGCGGACCACAACAGAATTAAAGGGTACGTGTGTAGGGCCACAGTGATTATGTAAACACTAACTGGAGGATTTTTTGCATGTGATAAATACCTCAATAAAACTGAAAGCTGTCAGCACCAGTTTAACTCATAATGTAATTAAATATCTACAATTTACACTACACTCCAATTATTTTCAATGACATAAAACATATAAATAGATACATATAAAAATGACTCCACTACGACATTATTACCCCACAACTTTATAGATTTTAACTCATTTGTAGGAAGCTGTTGCATGAAATGTTGCATGTGTCCAGAATAAGCTGTAGACCAAAAAAGGTCAAACTCCATGTTTTGTTGGTCTCCTAAGTGAAAATAAGTTCACATATCCTCAACAGGTAACACACTTAAATATGAATTTTTTCTATTTCTATTTATTCACTAAAGTTAAACATACTGGGAAAAAATAAAAACATAATTACTGAAAATGCATCAACTTTTCCCGAGGCCCATTTCCTGTTTTATTTTTTCCAATATGATAAATTCAACAAATATGATAGTCAGTTCAGTGTTAACTTACTTTCACTTTCAACAAAACAGGTCATTTGAGCAGGAGAGCCCAAATCTTTACAAACAATTTTAACACTGAGAATAAAGTTATTACATTTAACACCCAGGATGCCTCTCATTTAAAAAGTGGTGATCATATCTCTACATAACTTCTCAAGAAAATGCTATGAATAGATCATTACAGTATATTATTTATTACTTAAAAACTTCCTGGTGTTCCCAAAAACTTGAAATACTAAATAAAACATTCTGGCAACTAGCTTATCGTATTTTAATCTAAACTGTCTATATTAAAATGAAATAAAATAACAATATTAATATGACAAGTCATTACAGTCTGTTGAAAGGTAGTATATATGGTTTTGAATGAGTTTTTTTTGGAGAAAAGCCCTTTTTTATGCATGAAATATACATCTAGTTTTAAATCAATTTCTAATATTTAAAAATCTAAGTCATGTTAGTATAATCATCCTCTCCTACAGCCTTCTAACAAAAATCAATTACCTGACACTCGTCTGGGTTGAAGTCCAGGTTCTGTTTGGGCTGGTTGTAGGGGATACTCTTCAGCGCGGCTCCGTTTCTCCACGTTCTCCCATGATCATCGCTCAGGATGCAGAAAACACCATCACCCTCAATAGTGCCATGACCACACACCACCAGACGGCCGGCTGCTGGATTATAGCGTTTCTGTAGACACAAAGAACATGTCACTCCAGAGAGATCAGCAGCTTATTTGTTGACAGCTACACATCCTTTCAGACCCACAGCGCTGAGTCGTCTTCTCACAGTGGAAGGATGGACAGAAACACCTGTGGATGTTTTCAGATCTAAAGCAGCTTGATTTTCTCCTCTCTCTCAAAGGTGAAAGCTTTAAGTGCTGTTTATCTGATGAACTCCAGTTTTGGAAACCTGTTTTTCCCCCCCAACTTATTTTCAATTTATACACACACACACACACACACACACACACACACACACACACACACACACACACACACACACACATACACACACACACACATATATATATATATAAGCATTTTTTTATCAACACAACCTATAAAAACTCACAAGACACAATGGTGGTTTTGGATAGTAAATAAAATGGCTTTATTTGTGTTGTAGACATGGTGACCCTTGGTTCCTATCAGCACCACTGTAAAGAAAACAGTAAGTTTCTCTAGAATTGAGCATCAAACCACTCTGAATGTTTACATCTCAACCACTGAAAACTGCAGATATTTTGAAAAATCAGTGGAATTCCCCTTTAAAGAACGCAGATGAAGACCTGTATTTTTGCGCAAAGTTTTTTTTTTAATAGCAGTTTTTAAACATGACACTACTGGTGCACTGTGTGTCAAAATACTGTGATACTGTGATCACATATCATAAAAAAAAGTATCATATTATATTTTTGCTGTATTACCCACCAGAACATTATGCCCTTTGACACTCTTAGTGATCCAGTGAAAAGCCTTACTGATGCTTTTTAGTTTCATGCTTTAACACACTTTCTTTAACCAGATCTGGTTGCTATGACTACATGATAAAACACCATGAGCTACTCTCCAAAGGCTTAAAACATCTTAGAAACGAATACAGAAATCTTCCAGATTTCACAGTCAAGGCTTTGCATTAAATGTCCAAATTGTTTTGATACTGAAAAGAGTGAAATTACCTGCATTTTAACATTAACATTAAATTTCACTTCAGGTCTTTAAGATATGTTTCTTGATGAAACTGACTAATCTCAGCTATTACTGTCAGCCTAGTAACCACAACCACAGTCTTCATTTTCAAATATTTTACCATCATGCTATCATTACTTGTTCATAGGGTCATGTGTTGGAATTCCTTTAAAAATAGTTTAAAAGTTTATCAAAGTTTACCAAAAAGCTCCTGGCTGATCCCTCACATGGCAAATGGCACAGCTGGGATTTGAACCTCAACATTACTGCCAAACTCTGTTTACATAATGTAATATGTGTAAATGCATGTAATTACATATAAAAAAGGCAGAAAAAAAGAAACACTTCTTTTGGCACTATATGTACCCTGTATCACAGTCAACTGACGCTGGCGTCATTCCTAAAATAAGGAAGACGGTGCTCCTACTCATTTTAAAAATGATAAAAATAAACTCCTCTGTCTGATCCAGAATGGCGGGTTTGTATACAGCTTTTTTAACAGATATACATTTTTGCCTACAATGATTTTAAATTGATGATTTTTTTTCCAATAAGAGTGAATGGCGAAATTATGTGGCCAAAAATTGTGTTATGCCACTGTGATACAAGCACATTAGTTACAACCATAATGGATACCATAGCAACTGCCTAGCAACATCCTAGCAACCACCTGGGATACCAAAGTAACATCGCTGCAAGCACCTAACAACTGTTTAGCAACACCTAACTAAACACCTGGAACATTACAGCAACCACCTAGCAACACGTTAGTAACCACCATGGATATCACAGCAACCACCTAGCAACACCCTAGCAACCACCATGGATACCACAGCAACCAACCTAGCAACACCCTAGCAACCACCATGGATACCACAGCAACCAACCTAGCAACACCCTAGCAACCACCATGGATACCACAGCAACCACCTAGCAATACCCTAGCAACCACCATGGATACCACTGCAACCAACCTAGCAACACCCTAGCAACCACCATGGATACCACAGCAATCACCTAGCAACACCCTAGCAACCACGATGGATACCACAGCAACCGACCTAGCAATACCCTTGCAATACCCTAGCAACCACCTGGGATACCACAGTAACATCTTTGCAAGCACCTAACAACCATTTAGCAACACCTAACTAATCACCTGGAACATTACAGCAACCACATAGCAACACGCTATCAACCACCAGAGATACCACAGCAACCACCTAGCAACATCCTAGCAACCACCTTGAATACCACAGCAACCACCTAGCAACAACCTAGCAACCACCATGGATATCACAGCAACTGCCTAGCAACACCCTAGCAACCACCATGGATACCACTGCAACCACCTAGCAACAACCTAGCAACCACCATGTATACCACTGCAACCACCGAGCAACAACCTAGCAACCACCATGGATACCACAGCAACCACCTAGCCACACCCTAGCAACCATCATGGATGCCACATCAACCAACCTAGCAATACCCTAGCAACCACAGGGGATACAATTAAAACCACCTACCAACACTCTAGCAACCACCAGGGACACCACAGCAACTGCTTAGCAACACCCTAGTAACCACCCGTGATGGTTACAGTGAATCTGCCTGTGTGTGGAACCAAAAGCCTAAGGTTAATAATAAAACAACAGCTGAATCAGGAAGTTAAAAACCACCGCATATAGTTAAAGATTAAAGAAAAAGAAAATGAAAAGACACTGCGAGAGCCACCGTGATCAAACGAAGGGGTGGAAAGGAAGATGTTGAGCGCACCTGAATGCCAAAGCCAGGTCCAGGGGCGAAGCTCTTGACCCCGAGCTGGACGGAGAGGTTGCGAGGAGGGCTCCAAGTCACACCATCATCCAGGCTCTCCACCAGCATGGTGCTGGAGGGGCTGCACTGATAAAGGTGGAAGCACAGAGAGTAGATCAGCATCACAGAGCCTGTCTGCTCATCCACCACGACCGAGCCCAGGTTCAAACCATCCACCAGAGAGCCGTCGTCCACTACGAAGGACGTGGGAGACCACGTGGCTCCTTGAGGTGAAAGAATAAAGAAAGATCAGACAGCTGTGTAACTGTGTACTAAGGCTGCATTGTGGCTTTTTGTGTTGAATGTAAGTGGAAGCACTGTTTATATTTTTATATACAGCAGATTAAAATAAGGCATTTGGCTAAATCTGATGCTGATTATCATTCCTGTTAGATAGACAAATAAAGGGATTGGAGATGTTCATTTTAGTGCCAGTCTTAAAGGGGAATTCCACAGATCATTCGCAGTGGTTTCATGTGGAACTTACCGACTTCGATTCCTTTATAGTGGTGGCGACAGGAACCAGAGGTCACAATGTCTTCATCACACATATAGTCGTACTATTTACTATCAACTAGTACCTGCACGCCTTTTTATATGCAATATTGATGGTGGAAAAACAATAGTAAATCTGAAAAAATCTGGTTTCTTTAAGGACTATTTTGCTTTAGAATGTCCTGAACATGCATCCTAGCCATGAATGCATTTTTTTAGGCCAAATTCTACTCAAAGGCACTGAAAATAAAATGACTTGGGCATCAGGCAGCCTTTTATGCAATTGCTTGTGATGAAAAGTAGTGTGGAAAACACAAAATCCCCCTTATTTTTTTTTATTTCCACTCAAAATAGGCAAACATAAGTATAAGTTATATTTTAAGACATTTTTAGTGTCATAAAAAATAGGAAACATTACTTTAATAAAAAATTACACAAAAGCCTTCATCATTAAATGTGACATAAAATTTGTCCACTCTTTTCTCTTTCTTTTGTTTACCCTACTGCCACTATAACTCATCCATCCTGCTAATCCTAAAACCAACCATTTACAGCTGAGTCAACAAAAGCTGCTCCCAAATGAGTCACTGACATTATGTTCAACCCTTGAAACAGACACAAACATTCACACACAAACAAGACACTACATAAACTCACCTCAGCAGCCTTCAAATTTCTCTCTCATAAGTATCTAAAATAGCTAAAGGAGATATTATATATGACAATCCACGTGCATATTGAAGAGGGACGTCAGAGAAAATAAGTAACAAAACTGGAGCTCAAAAAATATGTTTATTATATTCTGTAATGAATGTTTGCTTCCATCACCACCACTGCGAACAATTCTGACGCACTAAGTTTCTCTAGAGCAGAGTATTTCAACAAACCACTCTGAATGATGTTTACATCCTAATGAGTAAATTATGCACAAATTTTGAAAAATCGGTGGAATTCCCCTTTAACGTATCACGTATATGTCTCTCTCACGTATATGTCTACTGATGCTGTATGTTACCTTTATCTGTAGAACGTCTCACTGCAATGAATTTAGCCCCGATGTCACCTGATGAATGCTTCCTGGCCTCAGCAAAGGCCAGCAGATTTCCACGTGACGTAAACGTCAGCAAAGGGATCCTGTACGTGTTCACTTCACCTGCTCCTCCGCCCACCCACAGCAGCTGCTCATCATAAACCAGCGGATCAATCTGCAAAGAAGAAAGACCATAGACTTTTCTAAAGATCATAGATGTTTCAACACTGTTGTATGACACCAAACATTAGGAATGATCTCTGTTCCACTGTGGTGTTAAATCATGAATAGACCCTTACAGACCTCTGAAAGCATTATAACTGATTACTGACTTTTATGGAGGCATAAAACATCATGTGATTAAAGGGTGACTGAGAGGCTTTAAAGAACACTTTAGGGTCGGGTTTGAAGTAGCAGCTGATTCCCATCCAATTCACAATGATATGAGTGTTAAACGTTACACTACAATGCATTTTGAGATGCACTATATGGCCAAACGTATGTGGACACCTGACCACACCTATATGAGCTTGCTGAACATATCTATGGGCAGTAATATGGCCTCCTGTGACAGTGCCATGTTTAAAGTCACTGAGCTCTTTAGTACGACTCATTCTGCTGCCAAGGTCTGTCCAACTACTTAATCATAGCCACTGCTTCTCCTGCGTTTCCCCCTTTTCTGTATTTTAGTATTTTATACTATTGCTAAAACCTTATTCTCTGTTCATTTTGCTTGTGTTATTTATTGCTATCCGGTGTCGACCAGAGGGGAACGGGTTCCCTTTTTTTGAGTCTTTGTTCCTCTCAAGGTTTCTTCCTCTTGCTTTTAGATACTTTTTCCTTGCCACTGTCACCATTGGCGACACTCATGGGGGCTCGGACCAGGACTTTTCTGTAAAGCTGCTTTGTGCCAATGCCCGTTGTAAAAAGCACTATGTGAATAAACTTTGACTATGCTTTTCTAAGCAACTGATATTTGTTCGAACACCTGGCTCACGTTCAACCTCAAAACATTGCGCAATGTTTTGCTGCAGTTTCCGGATTGAACAAGACATTTCATGCGAAACGGTGTGCAACAGGCTTTCAGGTGTGTTTAATCTCGTTTGATGGGTGTTTTAAAAAGGTGTTACCCAATCAGCAGTGATGTGTATATAAATCTCGCTGCATTAAAAAGGCAGTGCACACACTGGATGCTAATAAAGTCATCTACAAATGTGGCTGCTGCAGCCTGGTGTTCGCAACAACTTAAGACATTAAAAGACATATTTTGAAGCATTAAATATGAATTTAAACCCATTTCATCAGGCTCTGAAAACTGTTTGAAAAGAACGCCAAGAATGGCCTTCTCAGCTGCCATAGCTGCACCGCTCCTGTAACACAACAGAGTGTTCAAGACACCACCGTTTCCATTCGAATAGACGTTTTGCTATGTTTTGCTGGGGCAGAACACAGCGCTGATCTCACTAAAGCAATTTCAATTGGTACTAACAGCATCTTCTTAACGCAAATTCTCATTAACATCAGCCATAAACAACCTAACACACTAAAAACACTGTAAACTGCACCTCAAAGTCAATATGAATTGGAGATCACAACAGAAATCATCCTGCTGTACTGTGACATATTGTGAAACATGGTATCAGGGAGGGCCTTTGGCCTAGTTGAACGTTTTCTCTTGATGATGGGTGGGGAGGTGAAACACTGTTTAAGCGTGGGCGATGTGGCAAAAACATAATATCATAATACAAGACATTTTCATGATACATCATACGCATAACGAAATTTTGTTTTTTTAGAGGTTTGATAACTGGAAAAGACAAGAAAAAAACGCATTTTAAACACACTTTGAAAAACTACAAATGTAATGATTTTTTTCCCCCAACATCTCACACACTGTCCTGCCTTATTCCAGACTAATCATCCTCTCTTTGTAATGATGTATGCAGTGTTCTTCAAGTACTGATGTTTTCTAGATAAGCTTATCATAATGACCTTAAAAACTGTCATTTTGCCCTCCCGTATTAAAATATTTTCCCAGTTCTGGTGCACAGAGGGGGGCAAAAATCACTATAATCTCATTGAAGATTACACAAAAACAGAGTTTTGCCTTTAATATGATATGAGGAATCATGTTCAAAGAGCCCATATCTTACATTTTTTGTATTTTATGTTTTCTCCCCGAGATGCACTTCATGTATGAAAACAAAATCGTAATTTATTTTTACATGACCATTTCCCAGCTCCTCTTTATCCCTTAGATTTACATAGGACATTTTTGGTACTGTCTCTTTAAGGCTGTCCAGGCAGTGTCCTGCAGACTCCTGTAGAAGAATGCAGAGAAACTTTCTGCCAAAGAAATATATTAACGTAGCATTTTATGTGATTACTTTCTGTGAGGGAGCTTTCAGAGGCAATAAAGTCTTCAGACGTCTGGTTACTATCGGAACTGCTGAAAACATTTCTCACTCGTCAAGCTCATCTACAACAGAGCATTTCACACCAAAACACTCTGGACGATTTTGTTTACATCTCAAGGACTGACCTATGCAGAAATTTTGAAAAATGGGTGGGCTTGCCCTTTAATGAATCACAAATCTAACATTACTTGGGGTCAAAGTTGAAGAAGCTCCTGCTTGAGGTTTCCAGCAGAGCTTCAGCAATGTTCACCATCCAGCTGACCAGGAACATCTGCTGCTCGATCACACATTATGCTGCACCATTTAAGGTGGAACGGGACAATTCGCACAAGGAGCTGAATTCGGCAGCTCCGAGCTGTCTTACCCGTGGGAGCTGAGAGCGCCCCGCACTCGCCTGCAGCAGAAACACGAGCAAAGCCGCCAGCCTCACTTCTTCCATCCCGCAGCCACAAACAGCCTCTCCTGCTTCTCCCTGTGATCCGGACTCCGGTATCGATCGTCAGAGCCGACTAATCCGATCAGGAACTGTGGTCAGGAAACTCGGACGGGATGTTTGGCTTCTTCAGAACTTCATCATATGATGTGCATGACGTCACGCGGTCACATGGTCCAATCAAAGGAGCTTTGAGAATTCTCACTGCTGCGCACGTCCTGCGCAGACAGAGCCTCTCTGACCAGGGTATGTTTTGATTTGTCCATCTGAATTTTCATGACCAAATCGTAAGGCAAATTATTCAGTAACTGCATGAAATAAATGTAAATTTTTATTTCTTTATTTTTTGTAAAAGCTCCCCTCAAATTAACAGAACATGTGTTTTATGATCATACATATTTCTATATGTTTACAATTTACTGCTGAAAGCCAAAAATCATAGACGCTCTTTGTATTATTTTATAAAAATGATTTTTACAGAGCAGATCACTGAAGAGACGCCATCTGTTTATAGTTTATAGCCCAGATTTGTGAAAGATGGGTCGACTTTCAGTAGACAAAAAAACTGAGTTCAGCTTCTTTTATTATAAGGGTCTAAAATTACATCACCCATCTATTTGACTGGACTGGAAAGAAGACAGTTACAGCTCTCATATGACCCCCACCTTCTGAATGTAGCTTATGAAATATGACAGTTATGAAGAATATGATGAAGTGCGTTTTGGAACCACCAGTGGTCTGAAGGAGTTGAAGAGGTTAAGATGACCTCATCTACATGACTCTATACAAGCTTTTAATCCACAATTTTGATATCAGAAATGTAACCAAGTAAAATGTATGTAATTAGTACTAAAAGCGTTGAAGTTGACATGGAAACAATCAAACTCTAAAACGTGAAAAAATTTAGCTTTCTTATATTTTAGAATGTATGATTTCAGTTCTTGTGGCTTTTCTTTTTTTCGATTTATGTTAGTGTGAATTATATTTTAACAGTGGCAAACTGTGACTGCCAGAGTTAGTCCTTAAATTCAAGCCAAAAATGTCAAAACTGGGTCAAAACATGAGGAAGAAAACACTTCAACGATAATGCTAATTTCTGCTAGCATCCCTATGGGATTATAGTAGTGTGTTAGCATTAAGATGCTGTAGATTAAACATAAATGGATATTTAAAGCTTCTAGAAGACATAGTTTTACTTGAAGTTTGTGACATACATATTACCATACGTTTTACCTTCCCTGCTAAAAACCCACAGAAACCGTTAAGTGTTTCTGTTGGTGCCTGAAGGTTTCGTAATGTGTTTTGGCCTTTTTAATGGGTTGATATCACAATGTAAGGATCCTGATGGTTTAACAGGTGACCAATAACTGATTCTAATTCTTTCGTGGTTTCCTAAAAGGATCTAAAGGTGTTCTACAGGAAACTAGGGGTCACAGCTTCAGAGCTGCTGCTGCTGTTTTCCGATACTAACAACCCACTGATTAGACAGCTGCTCAGATTCAGTCAGTGAGTATCTAGAACTTCAAGAAGAAACAGAGCAACATTTTTTCTCATGGAATTGGTTCCATCCATTGGAAATGGAAATCAAAACAGAATAGGCTGATTCCTCTGTCACTTATTAATTATGCTGATAGTTAAGCTAATGTTTTAGGCCAGAACTTAACAATGAAACAGTAGTAGTTCTGTAAAACTTACAGAGTTTAACTGCAAACATGATTTTATTGAACAAAAAAACATAAACCAAAAATTAGTGCTTTTAGTTCCCAGAAATCAGAAGACGTTCTCTGAAGGCCCAAAAGGCCCTGAAAGTTCCCTTCTGCATTTTCACATCTGCTGAATCAGCTACCGCAAGCTGGACTTTGACATGGACATGCTAATTATTATATCTTAAATATATATTTGGATCAGTGTTTGTGCTGACTGAATTGTCATAGTTTTTTTTATATGAAAGTAAAACATTCTACCCTTCCACATCATAACATTTCAGTTTTCACTAGTATTCAGTGTAATCCATGGTTGAGATCAGCAGACTTTTCTTATCAGTGACATTGCAGGAAGAAGGCATGTGCAATTCTCAGCCTTATCACTGTCCTGTGACATCTTATAACCATGAGAGGGAAGAAGGTTGTAGCTTTGTGGAAACACTGAACAGGTTTTTAATTAGTCAACATACTATCTTAAAGGGTTTCACTCTGTTTGAACCTGAATCTGCATGTGCAAGACTCCTGCCAGTGCATCAGCTGTGTGAACACACCATGGTGCTCTTTATTTGTGGTGCAGGTACATCTGCACTAATTTGATGGCAGTTTTGAATGTTGGTAATCAGCAACGATGAGCACATTAGCTCTCAAGCCTAATTCCAGACAAACCGTGTTTTGGATGGAAGTCCTTCATGACCCACGCAAGCTAAGTGCTCCTGAAAGTGGTTGGAACCCCTTGGAATGAATGTTTTACCTCACTTCATATAGTCTCTCTCTATTTTCATGTGTATTTCTCTCTACAGAATCCGCACACAGCACTCTCAGAAATAAAGGTACTAAACTGTCACTGGGGCAGTCCCCCTCTTGTCACTGGGGTGGTACCCTCAAGGGAACATCTCAGTACCTTTAGTCAGGGAACATAACTGTACCAAAATCCATTGAAGTTATATTTTCTAAGTTATATTGACTCCACACACCCCGTCTCGTCTCCAGGCTTTTTATTTTATTGTTCTGTTTATGTATATATATATATATATATATATATATATATATATATATATATATATATATATATATATATGCAGGAAGCCACGGATGAGGCAGGCCTGCATTTTCTCCTCGGTGCTGTTTGAAACTGTGGAGTTCCATTCAGATGGCTACCTCTGATTGAGTGACCACAATCAGATCTCTCTGCCTCTCTCTCTCTCTGCCTCTCGTTCTGTTTCTGTTTCTCTCTCTGACTCTGTTTGTCCCTCTACCTTGTTCTTCCTATCCACAAATAGTTCTTTCTCTCTTTCTAATTCTTTGCCAGTGATTCACTCTATTTATAGTACGCAACTGGACCTTAAAACCACTGTTGTACTTTATTTCTAACAGTGTGACTAGATGACAAAATACAAAGCCCTCCACCATCACTAGCTCAGTGAGCTGCCTGCATTTGCCTATGTGCGCCTCAAGATGGCACCAGAGAGCCACATACATCATTCATTATTAGGTGAACAGGCACACTATTGTGATTTCTGTATGTGTTCGTGCACAAATATATATATACGTTTTGCTGTCAGTGGTGTTCAAATGTTTCCACAATGATGGAAAACAGTAGTTACAATGTTTTAGAGAAATTTGCAGGCCCCCATAAGGATTTTTAATAACTCTTTGCAGCTTTCATCTACATAAAAAAGAATCTGAAATATATAAATGCATGCCTCTCAAATATATGTACAAATCTGCTGAATTTAAACATATTTTGCCAAAAAAAAAATTGTTGTGCCAAATTATTTTTTGGTGTCAAAAAAAAAAAGGATGAAGTTCAGCACAACAGATTGTTTAAAGTAAAAGTATTGTTTTATTGGCAAAATACAAGTTGTAAGGAACTGCATTATAATTGTGTATTTGCTGTAATATTACAGTGAAAAAGCTGAACTAAAGATTTGTGTCCTGTGCAGTGTTGTGTGTGTGTGTGTGTGTGTGTGTGTGTGTGTGTGTATACATGTCCAAGGCCTATCTCCTTTAAATGGCCTATACAGCAGTAGGAAATAATCTAAAAAAGCAAGAACAACACACAGAGCAAAGAACCAAATATTAGGCACAAACTGTTACTCATTGCAAATGCATTTGCCATATATTTTCATTCCTGAATAATTAATGTTAATATATACTTTCTTCCATTTGGGTAAAACCGAAAGAGCCTGAGGATGTGCTTTTAGTTCCTGTGGTTACGGGGAATTACATAACAGAATCTTTGAAATGTAAACAAAGTCGTTCAGGATGGTTTGATGTAAAATGGGTTAATATTGGAGAAACGTACTGTTACAAAACGACCAGTGAACCTACATGCGTCATCTGAGTTCTGTATGTAGTGTCAATAATAGTGAAAAGTAAAGTTTCAAAGATGAATTCCATCAATTTCACAAACATTTCTGCAAAATTCAATCACTGAGATGTAAACAAAGTCATTCAGAGATGCATCAGGTAGTGTGTTCATAACCGTTTTATGTAATGACTTTATGTGAGGGAGCTTTTTTAAGGCATTAAACTCTTCAGACGTCTGGTTCCTATCACCACCACTGTAAACAACTCTGACTCGGTAAGTTTCTCTAGAACGGAGCAGTTCACACCAAACCACTCTGAACGACATTGTTTACATCTTAACCACTTAGTTAGGCAGGAAATTTGAAAAAATCTGTGAAATTCCCCTTTAAATCTGGAACAACAAGTTTTATTTGGGGATTATTTTGTCTTACAATGCCCTGTGTGTATCTCTCCAACACAAATGAGCTTTAAAACATAAGTTTAAGGCCAAAATCTGTTCTCAAAACTATTCTAAAACAATGTCTCAGGCATCAGGCAGCATATTCATAACCGTTCAGTGTAAAAGCTGTCAGTGAGGTGGCTTATAGAACCAGTAAACCAGTCAGATGTCTGGTTCCTATCACCACCACTACAAACAGAGCATTTCACATCAAACCACTCTGAATGACTTTGTTTATATCTCAATGATTAAGTACTAATTACATCTCAGTGATTAATTATTAATTACAGTATTACACAGAAACTTTGAAGAATCGGTGGAATTCCCCTTTAAGGCTGGGGCTGGTGTAATAGCTGGAGCACAGCTACATTAAAAAGCTGCTATGCCCTTAAAGATCGTCAGAGTGTGAGTGAGTCCCTCTGGGTGCAGGGCATGATTCAGCAGCCGCAGCCTGAGATCACCGAGCCAGAGGTGATGACGGGTGAGGATTAAGGTGTGGGTGATAGAAGTTCTCAGGTAAGCCTGATTTCTGCTCCTGCCTGTCAAGTAACGGCTCTTTCAGACTCACAGTGTTAAACTGCTGCTGTGCTGAGGCCTGCAGGAAGCCACGGATGAGGCAGGCCTGCATTTTCTCCTCGGTGCTGTTTGAAACTGTGGCGTTCCATTCAGATGGCTACCTCTGATTGAGTGACCACAATCAGATCTCTCTCTCTCTCTCTCTCTGCCTCTCGTTCTGTTTCTATTTCTCTCTCTGACTCTCTTTGTCCCTCTGCCTTGTTCTTCCTATCCACAAATAGTTCGTTCTCTCTTTCTAATTCTTTGCCAGTGACTCACTCTTTCTCTCAGTGACTCATTTGCTATGACTCTTTCCCTTTCTCTGACTCCCTCTCTCTTTCTGACTCTCTTTTTCTGTGTTTCTGACTCTCTCGTTCTGTTACGTTCTCTCTTTCTGACTCTCTTTTTCTGTGTTTCTGGCTCTCTCATTCTGTTTCGTTCGCTATTTCTGACTCTTTTTCTGTTTCTGACTCTCTCATTCTGTTTCGTTCGCTCTTTCTGACTCTCTTTTTCTGTTTCTGACTCTCATTCTGTTTCGTTCTCTCTTTCTGACTTTCTTTTTCTGCATTTCTGACTCTCTCATTCTGACTCTCTTTTTCTGTTTCTGACTCTCATTCTGTTTCGTTCGCTCTTTCTGACTCTCTTTTTCTGTTTCTGACTCTCTCATTCTGTTTCGTTCGCTCTTTCTGACTCTCTTTTTCTGTTTCTGACTCTCTCATTCTGTTTCGTTCAATCTCTATCTCTTTTCTCATTCTTTAAATCATTGTTTCTTCACTCTTCACTTCATTCACTTTTTCTCTCTCAAACTCTCTTTTTCTGACTCTTTCTCTCTTTAACTCATTCTTCCTCTTTGACTCTCCTTCTTTCTGACTCTCTCTCTCTCTCTCTCTCCCCTCACTCTCTATCACAGACTGGCCTTAAAGCTGAGAAATGTTGCGTGAATTCCTCCAGTCATGTGGTCAGGCTGATCCGAGTCACAAGGTTGCGGTGAGAGAGAGATAAAGAAGGAAGAGCAAAAGAAAAAAGGGGGAGGGTTTAGTGTCATTAAGGTGTCACAGTCTCATGAAGGAGGAAGTGATTTCTAAGTGGTGGAGAAAAAGAGAGAGAAAGCGCAGCATGTAGAGAGAGAGAGAGAGAGAGAGAGTATAAAGTAAGAAAATAGTGAGGATGAGGAAATGGCAGACTGTTAAGAAGCAGATAGAGGAGTGCTCAAAGTGGGAGGAGCCAGAGGATAAAAAAACTGAAAGTAACAGAGTAGACACTGTCATGAAAACGAGGGAGAGAGACAGAGGGAAAGTAAAAGGAGAGGTGGACTAGTCCTGTCAGGCAGCAGTGTACACGTCTGCAGTAAAATGTGGGCTTACTCACGCGCCAGCTAACAGAGAGAGAGAGAGAGAGAGAGGGAGGGAGAGAGCAGCTACATCACGGTAATCCATGTTTCTGTAAATTGTATGTCTTTTTCTCTTAATGTACGGTTCGTTGAGTTTAAGTGTCTCTCTCTCTCTCTCTTTCTCTTCCTGTCTCTACTTTTTCTCATTCACAGACTGACAGCCGAGCGAGTGTTTGGACATGTGGGCCAGAGCTGGCAGCTTTAACTGAAGTACAGTAAGTAAACAAATCTTGGCAGGCAGTTGAGAAGACAGTGGTGTCTTTATTTAAACCAAGAAATATACACATTTGGAGTGTGTCTATGTATATGTGTACTCATCTATACATCTATCTATATTTAACACCTTAAAATCCCAGGCTTATTACATCCTAGGGCTTATTTAAAGAACTCACGTCCTACAACATCCTTTTGTTTTTCTCCCTGAGGTCCATTTATAATGTTTGTGTGGTTTTATTCATTTTTACATAAATTATGGTGCATAAAACCACAACCTTTACCTCATCCTCTAGAATTTAAGTCCCAGGCTTATTATTCAGTAACTACAGGGACTTCAGTGCAAACTGGGTGAGCTATTCTTTGGTTGTAGAAGTGTGTCATAAAACTTTGGGCCCGCCAGTGTTTTGACTGTCCATGTAAGGGGTCAGCAAGAGGGAGTGAATGGTACACTTTGAACGTTTCCATATGACATCAAACTCTCATTTAAAAAAGGGTGTGAAATTTGGCTTTTGGGCCTTTTAAAGCCACAAGAAGGAATGTGTTATTGTTAATTACGCTGTGGCTGTAATTCGGTTGCAGGCATGATGTTTTCTTTAATAACACGATCTTGAGTGTTCTATTGCTTTTCTGCAAAATTAAAAGTGAAGATTAAAAGTGCAGCAAAGATTGAAAATGTGCTACAATATTGGCAAATTCCTTCCACCAAAAAAATAGTACCCTTTTGAATTACAGATAGAGCCATAACATTGTCTCAATATCAGGTTCAGCTCAGCTTTATTTATTTATTTATTTGCCAGATGAACCTAAATGTGGTTTTATTCCATCAGTCTGTAAAGGATTTCGCAGCTCATCTTATTTGCTGAATTGTGTTCTGTTGGTTTCTGGCTAAGTACAGCTTGTTCAGTTGTTCTGCCCACAAAGCTGCTGAACTGAAAAGCTCGTTTAGGATCAACGACAGGTTCAGAATGGGATGTATAGGCCTGCTGTCAGACTCTTCTTCAGAATCTGACCAAACAGACTGTAGCTAGAATATTGTCTTATAGAAGCTACCTAATGTGCATTGAAATCTAATATTTTGTGTTTTTGTAGGTGAAGTAGAAATCAGAGTAAAGTGAGTTTTTATTTAGGAACCGGTGCTCAATGGATTGATACCATTATTGTGAAAAAAATGTCCATATGCAAAGTAAAAATATATTTCCATATATTTTTAAAGCATGTGCCAAGTTTGTAGCATATTTCCACAAATGCTTGACATGTGAAAATAAAAAAAATGACATATTTTATTTTTTGCATATGTGCATGTATTTTATTTCAACATATTGATATATGTGCACATATTTGCATGTTTCAATATTCAAAAATGGCACAGTTAAATATATTTAGCATCTGCATTTGAATATATTATATATATTGCAAATATATTTGTAATAGGGGCAAATATATGTTCTCCCATAATCGTGCGCTGTCATCATATTGCGCCGGTGGAACTAACTGTTGTATAATATTTAGTGACTACATGGAAAGCAGTATAAACTGGCTAACATATGCTTAAGTTAGTGTAGTGTGGAATAAATGTTTGGATGCAGTCTTGGCCTTTTAAGGGATTTACTCTTTAATCTTATTGTATGGACACCATCTAAACCTTATTATTCAGTCACTACATGGACTACAATGCAAACTAACAAAGTTATTCATAAGTTATTGTAGTGTGTAATACATGTTTGGATTTAGTCTTGGCTACAACTCCTTAAGCCTGTTGTATGGCCACACTCTAAGACTTATTATTTAGTAACTACATAAATACCAATGATTTATAATTGATTATAAGGGTATGTATGGACCTGCCAGCAGGTCTGTGAATGTTAATGAGTTAAGTTGTTGATTTTGGAAGCCATGACAAAGAGACAAGCAAACATAGAATCTGAGTGTGAAATGTTTGTCACTTTGACTCTGCTGTGTGAGCTGTTCTCAGCTAAGGGAGCTAAATATTTGTAAAGAAAGTTCAGCTACTTATATGTGAAACTACAAAAGAAGAAGTGTTGACGCTCTATTTCCTGTTCTGATGCGGATGGCCTACTGAAAATCAGCAACGGCAAAGCCAAGCTTCAGCTGAAAAGCTGACTTTGTTCAAAACATTTTGACTTCTGGATTGGACCTGGTTCCGAAAAAACAAAGCCAACTGGACTGCAAGAGCTCTTAAAATCAGAGTCTTTAGCTCACTGGCTGGGAGTTCATTAGATGGTTGTTGTTGAATGTGTTGCTGGGCTGTGAGAATGTGAGGAGAGAATGAGAAGAGATATCAGCTGAACACACATTCATTTTGTGGGGGCTGTTTACAGTCTCATGATTCATGATGTGATTGGGTCACAGTGAGGATGAAAGACGAGAAAAAAATGACAAAAATAAATAAGCTTTGTTTGTTTTGCCCCATAATGATATATTGAATAGTCTGATTTGAATAGCTTTTAATTTGAATAGCAGTTTAAATAGTGGTATATATTAGACACTCCAGCATTTTTCAAATGTAATCACCATCTTCTGCATCTGCATTATACAGATGATTATGATTACCATAGTCTTTTACACATTCCCCAACACTTCGAAATGAGCAGGAAACCCGCCGACTCAAAACTCATGATAATATTCACTGGGCTGTTGCTGACATTTTTCACAGTGGCTGTAAGATTACATTTCTGCTAGAGGTCCCTCAGTTCAAAGAGGAATTCCACCAGATTTGCAAAGTTTCTGCATAGTTTGGTTATCGGTGAGACATAAACAAAGTCATTCAGACTTTCTAGAGAAACTTATCAACTTGAATTTCTTCATAATGGCGATGATAGGAACCAGGTGTTGCACGTACCTGCATCTACCTCTCCACCATGAATAGATTTAAAAAATATGTTGTTGGCCAAACTTTATCTCAGAACTATCATAAAACAACCTCATCGGGCAGCGTATTCATCACCAATTCATGGAGTAGCTTTCTGTCAGGGAGATTTTAGAGGTGGACGTCTGGTTCCTATCACCACCACTGTGAACAATTCTGACTCAGTAAGTTTCTCTGATGAAGCATTTTACACCAAACCACTCTGAATGACTTTATTTACATTTTAGCCATTTAATTGTGCAGAAATTTTGAGAAATAGGTGCAATTATTATACAGTAACTATGCACTTTTTTATTCAGCAACATTTATGAAATGCATTTCAATGATAATGTGAATGATAATGTGAACTGAATTTCCATCTTCAATTCAATAAATCAACATTTATAACATTTATAAAAGGGTTTTATTGTTTTTAAATGCTGTTTTTATATTGGGCAGCTGTAAACAGTTGTAAAAAATGTTTTTTACTGCTGTTTTTATTTATTTTTTAATATTAGAAAGCTGCGGTTGTCCGTTTTATCACAGCATGTCCATCTTTGTGGAGAGGTGTGAACTGTTTTCACAGCAGGGGGTTCTCATCCTCCCGTCTCACCCCTCACTGCTTGTTAGCAGCTCAACACAGAGTCACAAAGTTACAGGGAAAATTATTTATTTGTTATTATATTAATTGATCTGAGCTGCTGGTGGAATGACCAGTAGTGGGGCTACTTTCCAACCAGAGAGTAATGTGTAAAATTATTGTCCGTGGTAACCAACTATACACTGCAGTGCTTCAGATATGGCTGATAGAGATTAGGTTGAAATGCGCTGGAATATTCCTTTAACCCCTTAAACACTAATTCTCAATTCCTCACTGTCAAAGCTACATTAACATAAACATTAGTTTCATTGTAGTTACTGAATAATTAAGTTTAACACATGAAGCCCAGGGTTCAGGGGATTAACGTGTTCTTGTGAAAATGCACATTTTCCAGCAGTTCCTTTTGTGATGGAGGAGGCGATCACTCAGTTTAATGGAGACAGGAGTGATACTGCATCCAGAATTTCATCAGAAAACACTGAGGTACATGATGGAAGAAGAGGAGGAGCAGCATGGAAGAATGGTACACTGCACTCACACTGTCTGACCAATGTCTTTCTATAGTATTTTACAATATTTGCAATAGCAGTTGCTGGAAACATATTGTGCTGAGTGTAGCACCATTAATTAAAGGGGAATTTTAGCAGGCATAATTCAACCACTGAGATTAGTGAAAAACAGTCATTCATAATGGTTTGTTGTGAAATGGTTCACTGTAGAGAAACTTATAGACTCTGATTTCTTTATAGTGGTGCTGATAGGAACCAGAGAGCCATGTCTACAACACAGATATAGCCTTTTTATTTACTATCCAAAACAACCAGTGAATTTATGTGTCTTCTGAATTTTTATATTAGTTGATGATGATAGTTGTTGATGATAAAATTGTGGTCAATCTGAAAAATACCTTTCTTTGGGTATTATATTGCCTAACAACACCTTGCATGGACCTCTTCGCCTTGAATGGAGTTTAAAACATTTTTGGGACAAAATATCATTGCAAAACTATCATTAAACACGTCTCAGGCATCAGGCAGCATATCTGTAACCATTTCAGGTAATCACTTTCTGTGAGGAGCTTTTAGAGGCATTAAACTCTCCAGACGTCTGGTTCCTATCATCACCACTGTGAACAGTGGATTGAAAGATGTAAGGAAATGTTAAGTCCAGTGAGGTCAAATTTAATGCCAAACTAATCCTACAGAGTGAGATTTACACTTATTCTCCACTTCATTAGAAATGCTCACTGGGCACCTACACTCACAACAGTGATGGTTCTTTAAAGGTTCTTTAGTAAAGTAAATGGTTCTATATGGAGCCATGAACACTCAAAGAACCATTTGCATGATTAAAGGTTCTTTGCATCATGAAAGGCTCTTCAGAATGATGGAGAATGTGCTGTAGATGGTTCTATACAGAAATGGTTCTATATAGCACCAAAAAGTGTTCTTCTATTATAACGATGTCAACCCTGTAACAATAGAAGAACCCTTTTTGGTTCTTTTTTTTCCAAAAAGGTTCTATATTGCACCATATAAAACACATTCTCCATCAATCTGAAGAATCTTTCACATTGCAAAGAACCATTAAATAATGCAAAGGGTTCTTTGAGTGTTCATGGTTCCATATAGAACCATTTTCTTTACTAAAGAACCCTAGAAGAACCATCTTTTCAAAGTGTGTACCTTATAGCTCCTCTATATATGTGTACGATTTCAGACTGTAGCCTTCTTGTTGCTGCAGAACATATCAGCCCCCATTTACACAATTTATTAATGGTCGATTTCTGACCACAGGTTTGATGTCCAGATGTTGTTTGGGTGGTGGATCATTCTCAGTTCTCAGTTCTCAGTTTTTACATACGTCAGTGTTGCTGCTAGATTGAGAGTGGAGCATGTAACCAAGCTATTTACAGTTATAACACATTTACAGGAAGCATTAGATTGGCTTTTGCTTTATTTGGCGTAACAATTCAATTATGGTGACGCTGTTTTAAATGACCTTGCATTAAACTGCATTAGCTAAATAGGTATGACACAGTGTAAGTGTTTTTTATTGAATCTACAGGGCAAAAAGTGTTTACATTGTGGTTTAAATGGAGTTTTTGATTTGTGTTTCTCTTGCACATCCACTTTTCTGAAATTAATTTTGATAAACAGATGTGTTGATCCCGAAAAGGATATTTCAGTCCTACAGTAGCAAAATAAACACATAATGAATAGGCACATTTTTACACATGCCACACATATTTACATGTACATCAGTGCAACATCATTGCTCATCAGATTTAAATTCTCCCTCTTTCTTCGTGTGTTCATGTTTGTTAGGTCAGTGTGTCCTGGCTGTGTCCACTTCTTCTACATTATACCCAAGCTTCGACCTGTCACTCTGCAGGACTCTGCTGGAGAAGGAAGACTTCCAAGTTAGTGCCTTTTTTATATTTCTCATGTTCTCAAACCATACATAACATTTTTATAGTAATCCAAGGAAAAGTTGGAATAAGTATTGTTTTAGCTAGTTTTCCCAGAGGTGGTTCTGTAAAGTAATTTTGGTAAATATTGGTAAATATCTGTGTAATTTTCCATAATTTCCACAGATATCTGAATGTAAAAAGTCATAGTGCAGATGTTTACGTCAGTATTACGCCACAGGACTCACTCAATAACAATAACAGCACGCCACACAGTCATGTCTGTCAGCAGGTTTTGTTATTCCTTTAGCGTGAGGTGGATTGAAACAAGACTGCTATTACTGAGGGAGCTCCAGATTCAGCCAATTACAGAAGACCATTCACTCCTCAGTTATTACTGTCAGACTGTAAAACTACACACACTGCAGATTCATACTGGATTAATATCACTCCACAATTATTACAGTCAGACTGTAAAACTACACACACTGCAGATTCATACTGGATTAAAATCACTCCACAATTATTACTGTCAGACTGTAAAAACTACACACACTGCAGATTCATACTGGTTTAAAACCACTCCACAATTATTACTGTCAGACTGTAAAACTACACACACTGCAGATTCATACTGGATTAAAATCACTCCACAATTATTACTGTCAGACTTTAAAACTACACACACTGCAGATTCACACTGGATTAAAATCACTCCACAATTATTACTGTCAGACTGTAAAACTACACACACTGTAGATTCATACTGGATTAATATCACTCCACAATTATTACCGTCAGACTTTAAAACTACACACACTGCAGATTCACACTGGATTAAAATCACTCCACAATTATTACCGTCAGACTGTAAAACTACACACACTGCAGATTCATACTGGATTAAAATCACTCCACAATTATTACTGTCAGACTGTAAAAACTACACACACTGCAGATTCATACTGGATTAAAATCACTCCACAATTATTACCATCAGACTGTAAAACTACACACTGCAGATTCACACTGGATTAAAATCACTCCACAATTATTACTGTCAGACTTTAATCTTGAATAAGGATGCAAGACAAAAGAGTGAAACCATTGTGGATCTTCTTACACAGATCCCTGTGGAGGACTTTGAAACTCCTCTTGGAATAGCGCTGGACCCTCCATCTGTCAGAAGATATCTGTTCTTCAACTCTTCCCTGTTTCACTTCATCTTGGCTCCAGTAAGAGGAACATGTCGACACACTTTGTGAAATCCACTTACGAAAGCCACTTCATGAAAATCCCTAAACGTTCAAGAAGTACATGTCATCATCCAGCTAAAGCGCTCAGATCCATTTACTCATCTCTATGTACTTAAGTACACTTTGGTTGGATTTATATTTTCCTGAGCACTAATACTTAAGTATATTCTGAAATTTGTATATTTAATCCTTCACATTAACTAATTCACTTCCTAATTCTCTTTTTTGGGATTTCATTTCATGGGCTGCTTTGTGATCGGTCACTTCTCTCACTTTGGAGCTTCAGCATTTTATTTTAGACCAAAAGCATCCAAAAAGAGAAGAATATAGCCCAACATGCTTCAGTGCCTACACTGGCAGATGCTGGGTGTACTAAGACGTTCCGCTGTAGTTCTGCAGGGAACTCAGTATTTGAGGACCTGATAATAGACACATTTTTACTCAAGGTGTTTTGTAGTGGCCATTTTTTGAGAGCTTTTTCATTAAAGTAACAACACCTTTCCTGTTAGGATAGTTTAGGCTGCTGATAACAGTCACAGTCAGCATTTAGACGTTTCATAATTTGTCACTCAGCCTTGTGCAGAGATTTGCCGGTGTTGCAATTAAGCAGAATTTCCACAATGAAACCAGTAACCCATTCAATTGACCTGATTGAACCTTGTTGATCATTTCTGCACACATGAAACACATTACATCAGCACAGATCATCCCACTGGAATTATGAGGTTCTATACGACATTTTTTGTCAAAATTGAGTTATTTACATTTTCTCATTCTGTGACGACTTCTTAACATTATGTGAGGACTCTAACTAGAAAACAAAAAGGTTCTATCTTCAAAGTCAAACTCTAACCTCTATAGGTTCTCTAACTTCTCTAAGTTCTATAGGTTCTATTTGCGAGCCACTAGCACTTTGCATACACACAAGAGGACCAATCAGGTTCTGCTTCTTTGCCATGTCACCGCACTTTGGGAAAAGTGTATAAAACTTTATGAAACATGAAAACATGTTGCTGATACTCTGCCTGTCTTCTTGCAGCTCTTTAAAAGCTCTTATTGTCTAAAATTTTATAATAATTAAATCTTAAAGGTGATTAAATAGTACACATTTGAATTGACAGGGTCTTAATTACAACATAAACATTCATTTAATTCATTCATCCAACTTTTATTTCTTTCTTTCTCCATTTCTGATTTAAAACAAAACCTCATACTGCCTTTATACTGAACTGCTACATTTACTTGCTGGGACAGTTTATTACTGTAGTCTAACCTAAGGGAAATTAAAACTAATGGTTCCTACCTAAAATTAACCTCTGCACTGGACAAAAGATTTAGTACTGACCTTTCTATTTAATCTATCAGTCGATGCTCTTTAGAATAAGAAAAAGATCATTTGTCCTAAAACAAGCAATAAATTAAAAAAATTAATAAATAATAAAAAAGCATTATAAAAATGTCATAGAAAGCATTACATTTAGCTTTCTGATCAACACTAATGTTATGTTTTAAAACAAATTAAGAGTATTAACTGTTTGTGTTCCTTGAAAATCATCGCTTCTTTTTGTGTTTTTCCAGATAGAACCTTATAACTCCAAGCAGAAAGTGAGTTCCTAGGATTAGAGGGTTCTATTTGATCTGTTCCAAAAACCTCATTTACAAATTTGGATATTGATATTGCACATTTAAAATACATTTAGGGTCTCAGTCATTTTCATGTAAACCTACTGGTTTTGCTAACTGGAATGCAAAATCTTTGAAGCTCAGTATCTCAAACCTGCTCAGAACGCAGTTCAAACCTTAAAATTCCAAGGGGATGAAATATCAGCACAACAGTCCGAAAGACTGAAAGCTCTGTGTTGATGTAATCTACATGTTGCAATAATGTACATTTTTGAAACGAGTAAATTGAACTTTGTTCACTGCAATACTGAGTGATTTTAGTGTCTCTAATAACTGTGTAGTTACATGTGAACAACATATGCAACAACAATGTAACTACTAATGGTTTAGTCACTGTTACAGATGGTTTACAGTAGTATAGCTTATGTAATTACACAGGTGTATCAACTTCAGTTTTGCCTCATATAATTACACAAATGTATCTTAATAGTTGTAACATTGTATTCTCTGTCATGTAATTACACAAGGGTAATAACACAAATGTAATTACATTTGTATTCAGACTGGAACAGCATTTTTTTCAGAAGTCTTTTCCAGCAATAAAAGAAAGTTTGTAATAATTAAATTAACACATAACTTACACTGTATCTGCCAGCTTTCCTGACATTTAGCGAGCATTTATGTTGCGAGTGCTGTGACACTGTAACCAGTTTCAGCTTTAAACCACTCTGTAATGTGACAGAACAGCAGACGTCCCCTTATATTAAAATATAACTGTTATGACATTAATTAATTGTGTTGCGTTAAACCCAAAACAATGTCTATATTACCACTGTATTATTACACAGTACCTACATGCCAACTACATAGGAACTGTCCACTTATTTTACAGTGTAACTTTAACACTATACTACAGGAAAGTAGTATAGGATACACTTGTGTAATTACATTGGCTGTACTTCTGTAATCCATCTGTAACACTGACTAAATCATCAGTAGTTAGTGTTGTTGCAATATGCTATTCATGTGTAACTACACAGTTATTAGAGACACAATATAAAGTGGGACCGATATTTCAACACTTCTGTACTTACTGTTGTGCTGATATGTGTGCAGGTCTTGTACATGGTGCTGTGGTGTGCTATGTACTCCAGCCTGCACCGGTACATTGCTGCGAGTGCCATGGATTTCTGGGCGCTCTGCCTGTGCGTCAGCCTCGTCTCCATCTTCATCACCACCGCCATCATCCTCATCCTCCACTACAACAACAAAGAGGCAGGAAGCTGCTGTTTTCATCACAATTACTCCCACATTGCACACAGCCTTGGGAAAACAGTCCCAATTTGAAGGGGAATTCCACCAAACAAACCATTATGATGTAAACAGAGTCATTCAGAGTGGTTTGATGTGATTTTAGAAGAAACTTGTAGTCAGAATTGTTCAGTGGTGGCGATAAGAACCGGTCATTTAAAGAGTTTAATGCCTCTAAAAGCTCCCTCACAGGAAGCTATTACACAAAATGGTTATAAATACACTGCCTGATGCTGGAGATGTTGTTTTCAGCTTAAAACTACTTTTTTTTCAAACACATGTATTGTGGAGAGGCACATGCAGGGTGTAGTAAGGCAAAATATCCTCCAAAGAAATCTTATTTTTTTAAGATTTGCCACCACTATCGTCAACATTACACATAAAAACTCAGAAGACACATTTAGGTTCACTGGTCATTTTGGATAGCAAGTAAAAAGGCTGTATTTGTGTTGTACATTGTGACCCCTGGTTCCTGTCAGCACCACTGTAAAGAAATCAGGGACTGTAAGTTTCACAGTTAACCATTTCACATTAAACCACCCTGAATGACTTTGTTTACATCTCAGTGACTGAATTATGCTTAAATAAAGACAAATTGGTGGAATTTTCCTTTAACCTCTGACTTGATCTAAATCAACTGTGTCCTAAATCTTAACATAAGACCAAAGAAGCTAGGTCATTCTACAGAAATGTCCACTTTTTTTTATCTACCCATAGGAGTCACTGGTGTTACTGATCGTCATTGGTGTTACAGATAAGAAAGGTAACACCAGAGACATTTTAATGACAAATGCATTTTACAAAATAACTGCTACAGAGCATCAAACCACATGTTGTCAGTCATGGAATATCCACTAAAATATGTAATTTAATCCATTTTGTATTCTATTTTTTCACAATTACCTAAGAATAAAGTCGGTCACACCAGTGACTTCAGCTAAAAGCTTCATATGAAATCATGAACTAAATGAGAAAATCTCTGATAACTGAAAGACACAGTGGACCATTTTCTTCAGACAACAGGTAAAAGGAAGTCAAGTGATGTCATCAGTGTGATTTTTATTTCAAAATAAGAGATTTTTTGTCGCACAGTAACACCAGTGACACGACTCCTGGGGAACTTTCATGATATATTTTACAATGTTTATTTGGCATTTATTTTCTTTATGTTATTTAAATTTATTTAAATATATTTCATAGTCATGTATAGATTATAGGTTTTTAAGCTCAAAATATGGCCCCACCCTTCACACATGACCGCGAGGACGAGCTCTTCTGTGGTGCTTGGAATTCTAGATAATTGATTTAAAAACCAATATTGCTGAATTGAGGCTCATGAAGGTGTAATTGTTAAAATAACTTATTGTTTTATTTTGAAATATGAATAAATTGTAACCCTAACATGTTTTTCAAGTGTAATATATCTGTAAATGTTAGGGGCACAAAAATGGATGTTTCTGCAGAATGACTCAGCTGCCATGTTGAAACTCTACAGGCAATTCACTTTGCACCAGTAACCCAGTGCACTCGAGGGTGTTTATGAAACTTTTAAAAACTGTCCAAGAGAGGTGTAAAAGCAATACTTTCTGTGCTCTTTAGCACGTCATGTCCTCTGTGGGGTGAATATGCCATTAGCAGCCTCGACAAGATGCATTATTTTGAACTGCAGGCTGCTCAGTTTCCCAGCAGTGAAATTACAGGCACTTATTAAAGCGCACTGCAGCGAGGCACTCACCAAAACCCTGGCGTTTTTCTTGGCAGATTAACGTGAACACAGATGTACGTCTGGTGCACGTGAATGAGCGGCTGGTCAGACACGGGTTGCTGCTGGGCGTGGCCGACTGGGTCCAGCAGTGCACCGGGAAAATGCAGGTAAAACACCTTTATATCCATATTCTTACAAAAAAAAAAATCATGGTCACCTGATGAGGAATTTAAGTTTAACATGTTTATTCTAGAGCTGGGTTGACAAAATTAAACACAATATTGTCCAGAAATATCACTCTATTTCTGTATATCTGCTTTTGTTTGTTTGTTTGCTTTTAGTTGCGTTATTAAAGTTAATGAGCTGCGTATCCAAATTAATGGAATAGAATGTCATTATGGAAGTAATGAAAACTAAATCTAAAATTTAAATTTTATTTTTGTGTGATATGTCATCTATATAGCACTAGTTTACCCTTTGAACCCTGTTGAATGGGGAAAAATACAGGACAGCCAGTTAGAACAGAGGTCATGTATGTATATCAGTCTTAAAGGCACAGTAACAAAAACAGCAGTGCATTTCTAAGGGATAGTTAGAGGTTGGATATTAAAATGAATTATGGCTGTTTTTGGTACATAAAACCACACAAAAAAGTGGACAAAATTATGAAAAATGTAGGAATACTAAGCAAAATGCAGGGCATTTAATACACATTTTCCAGTATCTACTATGAAACTAATGTGTAAGTTCTGTAATCATGAGTGAGGAACTGAAATGTGGGCCTGCATTCAGACCTTTAGAGTTTAAGGGTTACAACAGTTAAAAAAAACTGATAATCAGTGTCCAAGCCTGCTTTGGTGGTCTACACATATGCTTTGTTGGTTAAGCTGAAGCTGTAGATTTATGGTGACAGTTGGAACACTGAGATAATATGGGGCAGCTTTCTGTCAGTGTATTTTTTAAAGCTTTAATCGATCAGCTTTTGGTCTCAGGATTTGGGTAAATCCAGAAATTTGGCTATTTCAAAGATTTAAACCATTTCAAAAGCCAAAATTCAATCACTCTGACTTTTGTGTAACAGAAAGAGCTCAGTGCTCTTAGAAGTGCCTTGGTGTGATTTCTATCTGTTTCTCCATCTCATGTTAATTTCCTGTACTGTATTTGATGAAGCACTGTTGTTACCATAGCATCGGAGTTTCAGTAAATAGTCTAATTTCTCCCTCTCTCTCTTTTTCAGCTGTTTTGTGTGTTCTGGGATTTGTCCCCCTGCCTGCAAGCCCTGACTGAAACTCTGGAGGAGCTCGGCTTTGTCAGAGACGAGATAGAGGTACGCTTGTCTTCACGCTTTTAAGTCGTTTTTGTTGATGCAATACAGCAAAATGCACAAAGGCATTTGCAATATGATCTAAACCTAAGAAAACCCTGCATATTGTACATTTTTCAGAGAAGGCCTAACGAAAAAAGGATGTCTGTAGTTTTTTCTTCACTTTAATCTTATAAAATCATCATGCTTGTTGTATTTAACCTTGCCCAATGGAAATGTGTCCAATCAGGATGTTGCTTCCATGGGATCTAGGTAGATACAGCCCAGCAATTTCTCCCATTGGTTAGGACTTTAGGAGCTGGGCAGTTTTGATTATTTACAATGGGTGGGCCCAATGTCATGAGAAACAGGTCACTCTAGGCCTTTTGGAAGTTCTAGGTCAGGGGTCAGCAAACCAAATGTTAAGAAGAGCTATTTTGTCCTTTCAATGAAAATCAAACCACCTTGAGAGCCACAATATTTTATGTCCATTTTACCATCTTGGCTGTAAATATGTCTCAGTATGTGCTGATGTTCTAGTATAGGTTAAAAATATAATATAAACAAAAATGCAGACTTACTTTGCTCTGCTTTAAGTTTTAGCTCAGCTATAGCTGCTTTTCTTGCATCTCTAGCAGGAAACTTTTCGGTAAAATAGAATAGTTTTTTTGTAAAATGTCTCTCAATGTTCGATTTTTTTAGGCTGGAGTCGCTTCTTGATCGCCAGCTTTTTCCTGTTTCACCTTAAATGGCTAATATAACTGCTGACTTCAGCGTCACATTGAGTCTTCAAATTATCAATGTTCGTCTTAAATCTCTCTTTTTGCCGTTTCGTTAGCTACTAGCTAGGCGAGATTGTTGTCTGCATTGCTATGGTAACCAGCAGTCTGAGCGCCAACCTTCAGGGTTAAAGGGTGAATTAGCAGTCCTACATTAACTCCAGCATTTAAGACCATTCATTGTTAAACTGTGTTGAACGATCAGCAGAGCTTTATTTTACTGCAAAGGAGGATTATTTTATTTTACCTACAAATCTAATTCTGCTGTGGAGCCACAACAGGGCAGGAAAAGAGCCGCTTGCAGCTGCGGAGCTGCATGTTTTCAGTCGGTTAGAATTAAACCGGCTGTGGCAGCTCTATGCCAGAGCTCTTTACTGAAAAATTGAATGTAAAACTAACAAGTTGTACTAAACTATAAATTATATGCTAATTTTCTTGTTGTTTCTACATAATAAATTAGTAATTGTAGCAGTAACAAGTTGTTTGAAAAATGGAAAAATAACGGTAACAAACAAGTTTTCTTTTACGTTTTTTAACAGCTATAGTAAAAAGACATCCAGCTCTTATAACTTAATATATCTGCTTACTTAATATATAATTTCAGTTCTTTTAAGTCATTATGTGGTTTTATAATATTAGGGTTATTACCTCCAAAACAATGCAATAGTTCTGATGAAATGATGTGGAATTAGTGCTTAAATACTTCACTTATTCTTACTTGCTATGTCTGTAAATGCTCAGGTGCAGTATGACGTACATAAATAGCTACAGGCTGTAATTACAGTGAAACCTAATGATCTTATAGTTTTAAAATGCAAACTTGTTTCTCAGTTACTGAAAACATCGGTTCTTCAGAATAATGTGGGTAATTGCAATGAAATTATGAATAAATTACTGCATTACAATCACTCATGGTTGTTTTATTACTTTTACATATGGGCCCACTTACGAGTGTTGTTACCCAGGAACAGATGCAGGATATCCTGAGATTACCTGTTAACAAAATACCGTTACTCTATTATAAAGCACAGACCTAGTAAAAGTCTCAGAAATGTGTTCAGTAATAGGAAAAGTTACATCACACCCATATATCTTTGAACATTTATACTTCTTTATCTTATCTTAGCTGATTAGTTATTAAGAACTGGGACTCATAACAGTCCAAAGACTAATGTCATTTTTTTGGGAAGTACAACTTGTTATACATAATATTACCATGTTATTACTCACTTATAACCGATCTGTAAAGTGAAATTTCTTTTACAAGCTTCAAATGTCTGTGTTTAATCCAGAATGGCCAAGAAATGCTCATGTACACCAGTGTTAGCGTACTGCTAGAAACCCCCTAGCAGTGCCAGGAGAAATTAGTATTATCGTTGAGCTTTTAACATTTATGGCTCGACCTGAAAGCCTAGCTATAACAGTTACGGTCTGCCACTGCTTTATAACGTTTGTGTGGTTTTATATACAAAATTTAATTTCTTGGGATTAAACAGGCTAATTTTGTTCCTGTGCCTTTAAGACTGAGGTCTGTTTTGATTGGCTGTCACATGCTGTGCTTTATTCAAACACAGTGAAGGCTGAAACACTTGTTATAACTTCAGTGTGAATGGGCGGGGCTAAACTGCTGTAGGCTGTTTAATAGGCCTAAGAAAACTTTAACCTTCATAACATAAGCACAACTATTTTTCAGATACAGCGCTACTTACAGATCTTGCAGTTACATGATTGTAGGCAACGTCTGTTACTCCAGATATTCTTAGTGCTTGGTCTTTATATGGAATATCAACAAAAACAAATTACTTTTATTATTATAAAGGTGGTGAAATTTGAAAATGCTTACATAAAGCACATCTGCGTTCTTCTGTTTGCCCACCAGAACAAACTGAAGAAGAGAATGTCCCACCTCCTTGTAGTGAGTGACGTCACGACCTCTGAGGAAGAAGACGACGGCCTATTGGGTGAGGAGCCTGATGAGGAGCGCCCTCTGCTGGTGGAGACAAGAGAGAGAAGCACTTCTCTGAGGCAGAGAGAAGAGGCGAAACTGACCAAAAACTACAGCTTGATACCCGACTGTACCCTTTCATATCAGGTACGGGAGACTAGGAAGGAAACAAAAGAACTGGAAACCAATTCAACCATTGTCTTTATACATTAGCATCGCAGGTTGCAGGAAACTCTGTTCTAATGCTAATATAATAATATTATTATTTTCTAAAGCTGATCTAACATTATATAATTATAATAATAGTAATTTTTTTTCCATTTTATCTGCTTTACTTACCCCACTTTGTAGTGTCCTTTTGACCATCTGTTTCTCTAAATACTTTGTTAGCCCCCTTTTACCCGGTGGTGTGTTAGTGTGTGTTGTGCTGGTACGAGTGGATTAGACACAGCAGTGTTTCCACTCACTGTCCACTCTATTAGACACTCCTACCTTGTCAGTCCACCTTGTAGATGTAAAGTCAGAGATGTAGATGTTGGTCATCCTCTAGTCGTGGTCACAGGAGCACTGCTGTGTCTGATCCACTCATACCAGCCCAACACTCACTAACACACCACCACCACATCAGTGTCAATCTGTGGTGGTTATATGGGGGTTCTGACCATTGAAGAACAAGGTAAAAGGGGGCTAACAAAGTCTGTATTTGTAGAGCTACAAAGGTGCCTACATGGAGCTGATAGGTGGTGTCCTTAACGAAGAGGCCAGTCGGTGTGTGTGTGTGTGTGTGTGTACATATATATATATATATATATATATATATATATATATATATATATATATATATATATATATAAAACATATTGGGCCAAAGTAACACATAAAATGTGGCTTTCACACAGTTGTTTCACACTGTATGCAATTAGCAGCCAGTGAACTGTGCACTGTACAGCATCAGCCTCAGTCCCACATTTGCCTCTATGACCCCACAATCGTGCAGAATATGGGGGTCCCCTGGGCAGAGACTTGAAACCACTGCACTAGAACATGACTTCCCTCTTGTGTTCTTTTGCAATTACCCATTTGTATTTCTTTCAGGCTATTGCGTACCAGCTCTTGCTGACCTACAGTGCCGTCTACGTGAGGCTTTTGGTGTCGGAGAGGCTTCCTGCTTCATCACATCGCCCTCTAGGCACGGACAGAAATCACTGCACAACTGCGTCACTCTGCCTCTGTCAGTACGTCCAGCACAAAGTACTGCGTTAGACAGAGGCAATCGAAAGAGCGCCCAGGATGCACACCAGTACAAATGTGTGATAGATGCACTGTTCATGTTCAAACAATCACCAGAGACTGTTGTACATTTAAATTATTTTTTTAAGCTGCTCTGTAAAATATATATGTACGTAAATGTGTGTACAATGTTTCCTCATTTGCGATGTCGTTAAAAGTGTGCGCTGGTTTGTTAATGAGATCGCTGATCTTATTCGGCTCTTATGTAAGGGTTGAGTGAGGAGAGAGGAGAGTGAGAGAGAGAGCAGAGAGAGACTCACTCATGCAGGAGGATGTCAGCATGAATCAGAAAGCGAGTCAGTGAATCTGTACAGGCCTGGAAACAGCTTATCACGTTATGGCACAGCAGAGGAACATGCAGCGCAGGCAAAGCAGCAAAGCACAGCTACAGTGCGTCACAATCAGGGCCGAACTTTAATGCTAGGTAAAGGTAAACAATCACCTACAGGCCCCCAGGAGCCAAAGGGCCCCCTAAACTTCAGATTAGATGTTAAAGTGGGCAATATGGCAAAAACATATAGAAAGGGCACATCACAGTACTTCACAATTCACAGTATGTACCTGCAAAACAATAGAAAAACAATATAAAAAAACTATGAATCCAATTCACTACTGTTTAAGAAGTATTTAAGAACAATTTAAGAACTATTTAAGGACAAACAGAAGGAAACATCAAACAACTGGGAATAGAAAGTTCACATAATGGCATAATTAGCTGACTTCAGCTACTTGTTACTATGCAGATTATCACAACTGTCGGAACAAAACCTTGTATCTCCAAAATTGTAACTTTACAGGAGAAGGACAAAACCTTCTTTACTTTCACGTAAATCAATGGAATCAGACTTTTTTCCAAGTCATTTTGGGCCGTTTCTTTTGGTCCATTTTTCATGAAATTTAAATACAAGGTAAAGGGCAACAGGCATTTTCAAAGCATGTCAAAAACTGAAAAACGACAAAAATGGAGATACAAGGTTTTGTTCCGATAGCAGCGTTAAGCAGTTATCATACACTGGGTGTTGTTGTTTACAGGCTCTCAATAATCGGTCTAAATCTGTCTTCATGATCGATGCAATTGATCCGTGTTCTAGAAAGACTGACCTCACCCATGAGGGCTATATGTAAACTTTTTGAGCAGGTAGCTCCGGTGCTAGAAAAGTTACAAGTGTTTTGGCAAAGCTGAAAATATTGTAGCACAATATTATAGTTCCTAATGACAGGGACTTTAATTTGTGATACACATCATTTTCTTGGCAACTAAGAGGAAGCTTAGTATTTCACACACACAACAGCAGAATATCAGAAATGTGTGTGTTTATGCAGCATTACGCAGTGCTATTTAATACACATTTTTTAAGTGAAGCTATTTATGCTGAAAAGGAATACTAAAGACAGCAAATACAGTGAGGACAGCATTTTCTCCAAATTAATCTCCAAAATGATTAATTTACAGGAGAAAGCATTCTTACATTAACATTCTTAACGTGCAATGTAAGTTAATGTAACTTTACATAATGTACTGAAATTTACATAATGTACTGACTAATTTTTTTTTATTTCTACAAAAAAAAAAAATATATATATGTATATATATATACAGCCCCAAAACATAACAATTTCTTGGAATTTTACACTTTGCGTTTTTTTTTTTTGTGGTTGTCAAACATAAATTTTTAAGTATTGCTTCTATCAACCTGAAGGACTACAACTACATAAATATCAGATCTTATCCAGCTCCTCAGTTTGCACAACTAAGCTTGGGCAGACGATTTGGGTAGTTGGGAAATGTTTGTCCTTGCAAGTGCAAAAATATTGTGGCTTTGTACAGCCCTGTTCATCACATACTCAGAAAAGTGATAGAAGTTATCACAATAACGTCATATTGCCCGCTCCTAATTAGACTGATATTAAAAAAGCTACACCAAAATATACACTACTGTTCACAACTTTGGAATCAGTCAAACTACTCGCCCAAAGATATTTTTATATGTTTTATTGAAAAAAAAGAATTCCGTCAACTAGAATGAATTAAATGATAACTAATATACTCTGATTGTCTATTAACATAATTTTTGTCTCACATTATCTGCCCTGAGACCTGATCTCCACTTTTTAAAATGAAGATGCGTTCTGGATGCCACACTTACTATATTTTACTATGCTAACTACATTCTCAATGTGCAGATTTCCTAGTGATTTTAGAATCTACAGCTCCGTTCAGCTTTCCGGACACATCTAACATCTCTTAATTTTTTTAAGCTTCCTACTAATCACTTGAAATCGATGAAATTCCCAGGGCTAGCATACTGAATTCATTTCATATATTTATATGAATTCACATAGATTTGAAAGGGATAAAAACAGTGATTTCAAACTTTTAAATGGTGTGTATCACACCAAAATGTCTGTTATTTCTTATTTATAGTGTTTACTTTCACTACTGTCAATGCACCCCCTCCCCTGAACCTCAACGGACAACTAAAATACAAAAAAATGTAAGATATGGGCCCTTTAAAGTTTATGGGCCTGTATAAGGGTCCACACTTCAATTCCTCCCTCTCCTAACTAACTACAGCATTTATACATTAGTTTCAGACTGAAAAACTGACATAGTTACTGATTAATAAGTCTTAAGACTAATAACTAATTAATAACCATAGGGTTCAAAACCATTAAATCTGCTCCTGGGCAAGTTGGAGCAAGGCCGGGGCCAGGCCTTCAGCTAGCCAGTGCAGGTTGTTAATCAGCACTGATGGACCCGGACAGAGGAAAGCTAAACTGAGTCCACGGACACAGCATGGACGACACAAACCCATGCGATGAAGCCAGCAGTGCAGGTCAGAGCTGAACAGGCACCGACTCATGATGGAGGAGACGGCGGGCAGCGTGAGGCCTGCTAAAACTATCACAGAGATGCAGGGTCTCTCTGGGAGGCTAAACGACCATCTGTGCTCCTGCAGACTCAGTCTGGCCTGCCTCCTCCTTCCAGCTCCACTGCAGGCCCCATTTACTTTGTCTCTCACAGTTCCTATTTCACATTTTTCACCATCTCACCTTACCTTCCTCTCCAAGTCAAGTATTTTACACTGGTTTACACAAACGTAATGTGAGGGTTCAGACAAGCTTACATAATATTGCTTCGAATGTACTTGCTGAGCTGCTGTTTCACACTGCAGCTGTGTGGCTAATGTAGCCAACAAGTAACAGAAGATTCCACCTCATGTATTACCACGCCTACATCATCACACACTGCAATTATACACCCCCCCGCCGCCTCAGATTTAGATTTTACGGTTATTAACATACATATAAAAACTTGACGTGTAGGTTCACTGGTGGTTTTGGACAGTACATATAATATTTTTGTGTTGTAGACATCGACCCCTGGTTCCTATCACCACCACTGTAAAGAAATCTGAGCCGGCAAAGTTCTCTACGATGAGCCATATCAAATTAAACCACCCTGAATGACTTTGTTTACATCTGCACCACTGAATTACGCAGGCATTTTGAAAAACTGGTGGAATTCCCCTTTAAGCTGCACCCTTAAAAAAGATGGTGCTTCAAGAAATTGGTTCTATATAGAACTATGAAGGCCTTTGCATGATTACAGGTTTCTTTCCATCATGAAAGATTCTTCAGATTGTGCTATAGATGGTTCTCTATAGAACCTTTTGGAAAAGGGGATATATATAGGACCCAAAAGGGTTCTCCTATTGTTACAAGCTTAACACTGTAACAATAAAAGAACACTTTTGGGTGCTATATAGAACCATTGTCAAAAAGGTGTGCATAGAACCATCTACAGCACATTTCCCATCAATCTGAAGAACTCTTTCATGATGGAAAGGAACTTTTAATCATGCAAAAGCCTCTGAGTGTTCATGCTTCTACATAGAACCACCTCCATTACTAAGAACCCTTAAAGAACCAGTGTAGATGCCCAGTGTGGTAAAGATTTCTAATAAAGTGGAGAATAAGTGTAAATCTCACTCTGTAGGATTAATCTGGCATTAAATTTGACCTCACTGGACTTACATCTTTCAATCCACTGTTCACAGTGGTGTTGATAGGAACCAGACGTCTGGAGAGTTTAATGCCTCTAAGAGCTCAGAAAAAGCACAGAAAATTATTACATATATTAAATATACATTATTATATACACATTACATGCGCACTTCTTGACGTCGAGATATTGGTTTATGATAGTTTTGCACTGATATTTTGTCCTAAAAACATTTTTTAATGAAAAATGACATGAAAGCACCGTATTTTTTAAGAGTGTGGCCTTCACACTTACCAGTTTCTAACTGACATCTAAGGACAGTGAGATGTGCAACAAATCCCGCAGATTGAGGGTGTTAAAAAGGTGGCAGTGCTTCCTGCATTCGCAGTTACAAGACATTGAGAAATCACAGCTGTTGGTGACGGAGAGGCAAAGAGACAGACACAAACTCGGAAAAAAAACAGGGCATCTATAAATAGCACCTCTGAGACGAAGGGAGAGGAAAGGCCACGAGGAGAAACCAAGAGTGAGTGAGAGTGAGAGAGAAAGAAACGAGAGCAAGAAACCTGCAACACGACTGATTCTCGCAGTTCCTCTTTAATTTCAACAACTGGATTCAAACACAACAAATGCATTGTACGGCATCCATCAACAGAATTAACCTCGCAAAGCACGTGTACACAAGTCATCGGGCAGCCGCTTTAAAGGAGTCAACCTGCCACATTTACAAGCTCAGAGAAACTCACGTTTTTAAGGGTGCAGTAACTATGGGTAACCGTTTTCTCTGAAACAAAGTCGTCTGTAACGATACAGGCTCAGCTTTATAGTAGATCAATGTGGAAAAGAAGCAGTTTTTTGGGGTTTAATCTAAAAAAACCGAGAACCCACTGTACACTGTATGCACAACATTAAAACACCATAGTGGTTTAATGAACTGCACTGGTAGTAGATATCAGACATAAATACATGTTTATAATACAAACTATGCTGTTCTCTGTACTGCATTTAGAGTTAGAAAACTCAGGATTTTAGCCATAATATCAGGACTGTCTTCCTTTATAATAAATAAAACAATACGCACATCAATATATCAGTAGTCACTCAGCTAAAAACACTTCACGCTAAAGCTCCGGATCTAAAAATAGATTAGATTTGAGAGCAGAAAAGGACAGATATGCTGCACTGTAATAAGACTGATTGTATTCTAAAGAGAAATAAGAATGACATTTTTTTAAAAATTGGAATGAAAGTGCTATAGGCTTGTCTTTTCTTAAAATAAATAAATAAATAAATAAATAAACAAACAATCAAACATTTATCCTGGGTGCCATAAAACCCACCACAATCCCACCAGCCAGGCTGACAATGCACTTCTGCTGATGGCATTATTAAAGGGCCCATATCCGACATTTTTCTGGCATTTTATTTCCACCCCGCGAGGTCCACTTACAATGTTAGTGTTGTTTTATGTACTAAAAACAGTCTTAATTCATTCTTACATGACCATTTTCCAAACAGGCTGTTTTTGTTCCTGCGCCTTCAAAACTGGTATCTTCTGATTGGCCGGACACTCCTTATAACTTCAGTGTGAATGGGCGGGGCTAAACTGCTTTAGGCCGAATATGTAAATGCGTTGGTATTTGCGACATCACAGAAATTCAAAACAGGATGTTTTTGCAGCTTAGACTCCATACGATAGCTGTATAGGCTGAAAGCAGTTTTATATACTACATCCAACTATTTCAAAATAGTGAGTTGAACTTAATATTCCATGATATGAGCCCTTTAATGAGAAAAAGCTACAGGAGAACAGCAGCCATTTGGAATTTGGGTGCTAAAACATTACATATTGGTTAGGTTGAGGTAAAATGGGACGATATGGGGCACGCAGTGCTGTGCAAAAGTTTTAGGCACTTGTAAAATCATATTTAAAAAAAGCGAATTAACTGGGCAGTGAATATATACTTGCTCATAATTTCGTAAGAAATACAAACAATACTAATACAACCAGAAGTGGTTTTATGTGTCACTGTGTTTGTTTTATCATTTCTAAATGTCTACATCAGAAAGCCTAGTATTATTTGTAGTTACTATCCAGTATGTGGTTTGGCTAATCAATGCCAAGTCAAATAAAAGATGTAATTTAATTAAAATCAGGTGCGCCAGGTGATGGATTGCAACTAAGTGATGTGGAGCATCAAGGAGAAACCTGGAACCAGAAGTCTACATTTTAAAAGACAAAACAAGAAATTCTCATTATTTCTACTGCATCGATGTTTCTTGAGTTTAATCTAATGTCATGTGGAGTTTTTGTAAACAGAAACACATTAATGCCCAGATAAATGGTTTTAAAAGGTTTGATTAGGTGCCCCAGTGTTTTGCACAAAAAGGCCCTGAATGTTATTATTTTACTCTGTTTAGGCCTCTAATTAGTAAAATACTCTATTGCCTATTTATAAAGCAACAGCTACATTTGAATCAGCTTTCCTAAATTGTCTCAAAATACCTGAATCCACTCTATTGACATACATTTTACATATATTTTAGATATATATGCCCCTACATTGTCCTTCTGTATTGGTGCCTGACCCAAAATCTGAATGAAAACAGAAATGTGAGTCCTACACACTTAAAAAAGAGGGTTCTTCAAGGGTTCTTTAGTAAAGAAAATGGTTCTATGTAGACTCAAAGAACACTGTGCATGATTAAATGGTTCTTTGCATCATGACAGTGTTCTTCAGGCTGATGGAAAATGTGTTACTTATGGTTTTACATCTGACCTTTTTGAAAAGGGTTCTATATACCGAAAAGCGTACTTCTATTGTTACAATGTCAAGCGTACAATAATACAAGAAATTGTTTTGGTGCTTTATAGAACCCTTTTCAAAAAAGTGCTATATAGAACCATCTACAGCACATTCTCCATGATGCAAGGAACCATTTAATCATGCAAATCGTTCTTCGAGTGTTGATGGATTTAAACAAAACCATTTTCTTTACCAAAGAACCCTTGAAGAACCATCTTTTTAAGACTGTAGTGCGCCTGGCTGGTGGGCAACAGCAGATTACAGCACACCAAGATTACAAAACACATTCATATTCAAATCAGTCCCGCCCCTCTCTGTTCAGTCTGCTCCTAACAAGTGTGTGAAAATCATATGCAGGAATGACAGGTAGAAATACTTGTGGTAAGGATCCGATACTAGGCAAAGAACCATTCAAATCAAACGAAAAAGAGATCTTGTTTTTTGCTTTGTCATGTCAGGCAGAGACGGCACACTGACAAAAATGCACTGCTTTGAATGCTGCTTGATACAAATGTGTACATCATATAATCTTATGCAAAAGTTTGGGCATCCCTGCTCAAACGACATGTTCTGTTAATTTTCTAAGTGAAAATAAGTGAACACATCCTCTACAGAGACACACTTCTGCACATTTTAATACACAATTACTGTTTACTGGCTTAATTTAATGTACTGGATATAGAAATAAAACATGCCATATTTGAAGGAACAGGAACGGTCTTCCAAGTGACATCAGACATGCTTCATCTGTGACTGTTTTTAAAACAAAGCTTAAAACACATTTTTATCGATTCATTCAGCAGCCGTTGAACTGTAGACTGAGGTCTGTACACTGTTGGGTGAATGTATGGTAGTGGTGTTTTTTTTGTGTTTTATTGTGAAGCACTTTGGTTTTAAATGTGCTGTATAAATAAAATGTACTTACTTACTAGTTTGGCAGAAAAAAAGTCACACTGTGCTCAAACCACATCAACATGTCTGCACAAGCTTAAGACCTGGATGTGGTTCGAGCAGATTGAGAGAAGTTTCAGGGATGTATTTACGGAAAAGATTTGGGTGACTATTGACTTCTAAAGAAGCATAGTTCGGACACTGGGCATGTCTCGACCGATCGACTGCACCTGAGATAAGTGGAAAATCTGGAAATCTGATTTTTTTGATGAACTGTTTCTTCACATGTGTTCTCTATAGAGGAGGTGTTCACTTATTTTTACTTCGAAAAATCAATAAAAGGTAATATCAAGAGGGTGTTCAGACTTTTGCACATGACTGTAGGTGCAATCAAGTGACCACTGGGAGTATATTTTATATTACAGCACAATAATTTCTAAAAGCATGAAAAAAGGCGAAGCTGCATTAATGTGTCTAATGTATAAACGATGTGCACATTTGAACCAATTCACGTTAACGCAGCACGTTTTTTCAGCGTAAGAGTGAAAGCGGATCTTATCGGATTGTGTTGATCGGCTACGGCCGACACTTAACAATCTGACCTGTTCTCATAATCCAACTTTACGGCTCTCTGGAAAAGTGGCGGAGTAAACATCTACGTGAATCCACTCAAATCTGTGACATAGACAGAAGGACGTTACCGGGTATGGGTATCCCAGCGTGTCCGAGGTAGTCTCCCTGTTAGCCACGCGGTCTTGATCATATTGTGCTCACTGAAGACTGGAAGGGTTTTGTCCTGGCTCATCTTACCTCTCTACATTTTCACTCTTATTTGGTTTGAAATAAAATAAAAAAAAATCAGTTTTGTGTCTGTTTTTCAAACTTTTTTGCAAGATTGTATCATCAGAATGTCTGATCTCTCCCACTTCCCTTCAAGCTTTGTAGCTTCATATTCAACACTCCTCAAAATTAGCTGGCAAACAAACAGAAGGCAGCAGCGTTTTTTTTGCTAGTCAGACTATGAAAAATAAAACAGCTACTTCCTCACTGTGCATAAAAGTGCATATCGCGACATGCTTAGTTAAAAATATACCAGACTATGAGGTTGAGCAGTCTATGATGATCATACTTTATCATCCACTGATAAAAAATAGTTCAGTTCAACAACGGAGCTATGGCTAAATATATTAATAAATATATATATAAATAATTAACCCAATACACAAATCATGTAGTAATAAATAATGTATAATACATCAGTTTGCCACACAATAATACTACGTCTTTCCTATCAGATAAACCAGTTCACTATGAGGCAGCATTAACTGGAAATAATGTTTCCTTATTAGTCCTCAAAACGTTTTCTGAACTGGACAGTAGCAATACTCTACTGTAGAACATACTGCATAATATTTAAAAACAAGAAAACTCACTAAGGATCATGTTGAACAATGTACATCTTTTTTTACACTAACGTACAACCTTTTTGGGGAATAGGTGGAGTTAACGTGCTCTACGGCCTTTGTTCAGTCAACAAATGGAGAAATTATATTTAACATTTGGTGTTTGGCAATTATTTGGGAATTATTATCAAATGCTCTGAATTTAACACTGTTTACATAAAACGATACAAGAGAACTACCAAAGATCACCTCACTGGTGTGGATATTTGGCAGTTTAACCTGTTCATTTCTGTTATATAACACTGTTAAACCTAAATGGATAGATGGCACAAAACAATAAATAAATAGATGGAATGTACTGAACACTGACAAAGACAATCAGCACATAATCAATAATATGTAAAAACGGTTAGGTACAGTGAAAGCACTTCAGAATCAAAACCGGTGCGATGTTTCTGCACAGCTTTTGGAATACTGTCAAATTAGTGAGGATTAAAACACTAATAGACCGTAAACTTAAGAATTAATGACGTTTTTAAAGGAGAAAATGTGTTTGTGTGTGAGTTTTGTTCATATATGGACGTGCACATGTATCGTCAGGGCTGTTTTCCCTACTTTGGCCCTGATCTGAGACTGTGGAGAATCTATTTCTGCAGACTAAAATACAGTAAACAGTGTTTTTAGCCTGGATTCCAATAGTGAGGGGTTTTCTGGTGTTGTGGTCTGGGCCGACAGGTCAGTGCAGGGGGTGTCTGGACACTAAGAGCAGAACGCTGGCTGTACCGCGTGAGTGCAGCAGCCAGGAGTCTGTGTTGCGGTCAGCAGGCGGATGGTTCTGGGGCTTTAGGGCTCCCAGTCGTCATCATGGTGCTGAGAGGCGATGATGACGACGACGGTGAGGATGGTGCAGAGGACGATGGAAGCGATGCCCACCGCCAGACTGATGAAAGAAAAGTTACGCGCCTCGCGAGACGCTATCTCCGCCGTCACCATGTCGCCACGGGCGACCGCAGTACGCACCTGACGGAGAGAAAACGTGTGTCACATGAGTGTCACTGTAACGAAACATTCTTTCTCTGAACATCATTTCTTTTAAAGTTAAAGCTGCACTATGTAAGATTTTGTGTTAAAATTGAAAGAAGCAGCCAGAAGAAATAAAAACATGCTGAAATATGGTGTCCGTGCGCTGCCATCAGTCACTCCGTAAACCCCGAAATCATTTAAAAGTCAAAGCTGTCTCAGACTCCGGCATACGTCTTCACGTATTAACATCGCACACCCAGGATCAAAAAGAAGGTCTGGCTCGAGGTTTAGATTTTAAATACTTTTTTACCGTGCTTGCAATCAGATTCATCTGCTTGGGGAAGGGGTTCGAAGCACAACGCATGTTACAATGTTACAAAATGTTCTCCAAATCCCCAAAACTTACATAGTGCAGCTTTATCGTAACAAGATTTAATTCATTTTAGACCACTTTGATTGGTCCATTCATCATGAAATGCACAACATAAAAGGAAGCCAGTGTTTATGAATGAGTAAAAAAGGAAAAGATAAATGAGTTACAGGGTTTTTATATACTAGGGATGATATGCTGATGATAATGGGTGCATTGCATTTTTCTAAGATCCAAGTCATTTTAATACACCAATTCCTCAGCAGGGGTCCAAAAACCAAGGTGATAAGAAAATAGCTGGGAATTTGGGTATAGTTACCAAAATCAGGCAAGAAAACTGAGGCCGAAAGATGAACAGACAACAGAGGCATACAAATACAAGGAGTATATGTATGCAAAACTGAATTAAAGATGAGTGAAACCAATACAACTAAAAGGATCAAATAATGAGCGGCAGGTGGAGGAGCCAGCAAGAGGTGGAGCAAGAGTGCCCTGACAATGCTGATCTAACTATGACTATATATAATGTCAATTTCTGCAAGTTAATTTTTTAAATCCCCTTATTTAAGTAGTGTGTTAGCACTAAGGGTAACGCTTTATAGCAGTAGTGAAGCATCTGAATACATGGAAGTAAATATCTTGTAGATGTTCTGTTGATACATTACTTACATTAAGTAGACGTTCTGTTAATTTGTTACTTCCATTACGCAAAACCTAACCTTACCAACCATACCAAAAACCTAACCCTCACCCTGGCCCTAATGCTAATCCTAACCTTAACATCAACCCAAAACCTAATCCTAACCCTCATATGCTTTTGACATGCTACTGAAAGTCCTTTGAGTGTTTGTTTCATCTAAAAAAGGACAACTCAGAATAAAGTGTGGCCTAACTAAGCTAACAGCAATTCAAACGAACATTTTTTGGCTATTCTCTGTTAAACACAAACGTCTGAGGCTTGTTTAAGACATTTCTTGTGTTATTTGAAGCTTTTAACAGACACTAACATATATTTTGCCTTGTCTGTAACAGTTTTGGTGACTTTTTCAGTACAGAGTCCTGGCATAGAGCTCCCATCACTGTTTTCCATTTCTAGCAACTGACTGAAACCTGGTTAGACTACGGCTCATATTCGCAGTCAGTAACATATCTAGGACGTCCAAAAGGCAGAGAGTAATTTTTTTATTCTTACAAAGTGTTGTTCCACTACCAAACAGCAGTCCAGTGGTCAGAAACTGACCAATGCTGGAGGGTATAGAGGAGTGCTGATAAATTGTGCAGGAACAGATGGACTACAGTCTGTAACTGTACATCTATATAGCATACCTATAAGGTATATATACCTATATACCTATAATGAGTGGAAGTACAAGGTAGGGGTTTCTGATAAAGTGGATGGTGAGTTTACAGCCATATTGACTTACAGTGTAACCTCATTACTTTTAAACTATTGCAACGACCTTGTAACCGCGCTAAAATATGCCTGACAAAGGTTCAAAGGAAATTTCTCATTTCCCAGTTGAATCAACTTCATATTCAAAGTAATTCAGGACACAATCTCATTTTCATGGCATTAGCTGGCTGACCCACCTGCACAGCTTTGATGATGGCGATGATGCCGGTGGGCCAGAAGCAGCAGACGGTGGTCAGGACGGCGATGGGCAGGTAATCATGAGGGGGCCGGCGCGGTTCCATCAGAGCTATGCCAGGAGGCATCTGCATGGCCATCTGCCCTGGGGCCACACCTGGATGGGGTGCACCATTAGGCAGGTAAGGCTGGCCCTGGGAAGCAGAGACAGAGGGACTGAACAGTTCAAATGATCTGCATGTTACACAGCTCTAATTAAGATATTTTTCCATTGCCTAACATCCACACTGGCAGAATTGACATCTTAGTTAGTGAAGAAAGCTTGGTTGCAAGAAATATATTGTTGCTATCAGTGCAAAACCTCATATCTCATATTTTTTTGACATAATTTGAAAAAGACAGTTGCCCTTTATGCTGTGTCAAAATTCCACACTGAATGGACCAACATAAATGGTCCGAAATTATTTGGAAAAAAATATTTCTTCATTTACTTGCATGAAAAAAAATGAGGTTTTGTTCTGACAACAGTGATATATAACATTTCTCATTACGAGACTACTGTAAGATTATTATATGGTTATTCAACCTATTTCTAGACATTTGTTTTTACTTATCTTAAGACATCTTATCAATTATCTTACACAATGACGAAGCATGACTTTTAGAGATAGTTAGCCTTCAGTTTGGGCCATATGTGATCATTTCTGCTAGCACCCCTATGGAATTTCTAATACTGTGTTACTCATCTCATGAGTTTTATTTGAAGCTTGTAGCAGACATTGACATATTTTTTCTTTTATGTATCAATTTTTCAGTGACTTTTTCAGTAAAGGGTCATGGCATATGGCTACCGCCGCTGTTTTCCATTTCTAACAACTGACTAAAACCTTACAGCCTATGACTCGCATTCACAGTCAGTTACGTATCTAGAACTTACAGAAGGCCTAGAGTGACCATTTTTCTTACAAAACTCACAGGAGATCAAAAACGTGATTGGTCGATTCCTCTGTCACTTCCTAATTATGTTGGTAGTTGATCTAAAATGTTTGGCTGTCAATTTCGGACACCTTAACAAATGTACTGTTTCTACATAGAAACCAGTGGGAAAAACATTCTGATTGGATGATTTTTCATTAGCTGTTTCATTATTTTAACGCTTTTGCTTCCAAACAAAACTCAACAAAGAAATAAGAGTAGTACTACAATACATGCAGAGATTAGATACAAGAAGTGACAGTTTAGTTCATCAAAAATGAGCTATAAATGACAGACATTTTTAGTTCACAGCAATCATTAGGTCTTCTCTGAAGGCCTTGAGAGCCCCAAAGGTTCCCTAATGATCTTACTGCACTGGCAGATGGTTGCATTTCCTTCAACCATTATTTCTTGAGAGAAGCAAAATTATTTCCCAGCGCAGTAACATAAGTGATAAGATTATTAAAAATAAGTAGAAATGGGTTTAATAACAACAAACAAGTTATTAGGAAAATATTAATATTATCTTACAAAATATTAAGGTCCAGACTTTTCCATAATGGGCAGAACAACACTACATTGAGACCTGAGAAACACTAAAGTAATTTCAGGCTACTATTAACCATTTGTAATATTCTCTGCATTCAGTAGTACAGGGAGATTCACTCGAAAGAGGCCCTGAATATTCTGTAATAACTCTCTCTAGGACAAAGCAATCTGAACGAAACAATGCAATGTGCTCCTCAGCATATGGAGCTTTGAACAGGCCAGGATGCCCCTGCGTCGGAGTGATGAGGTAGGCACTGGACAGCCGTTGCAACGTTTAACCCCTGTTTGCAACTTCCTGGTGCATACCCCCGTACCCCTTCATGTGTCTGGCAGAATGGAGATCACTTCCAGCATCGCATGTAATGCAATCGATTACACATACATCAAGGTATGAAGCGTATTTTTTGGTTCAGATTGCTTCATCCTAACAGGATTTACTACAGAATATTTGGGGCCTCTTTCGAGGGAATCTCCCAGTATAAGAGTATATCTTTCAGTTGACCTAAAAAAAGCCAACTTACTGATCTTTGTTTTCTTCTTAATTTATGGTGAAAAATATACAATGCTACTTGTCCTATAACGTTCAAGTAAGAACTTTGCAGAACAAAATCTGCAGCTAAAACTTTGCAGGATCATAGAGACAAAACCTGAATAGATTCCTTGTTCTTTTTAAATTGATTCAATATACAGTGATCATACATCATTTTTACATAGGAATGAATGCGGGAATGCATCCTTAGTTATTCCAGTTATATAGTGCATAATTACCACCTGAGATAGCACAGCAATCATGTAGCAACAGCCTATAAACCACCTGGTATAGCATATGAACTGCCTAGCAATGCCTTAGGATAGCACAGCAACCACATGGCAATATATTAGCAACCAAAATACCATAGCAACAGCCTAGCAACACCTTAGCAACCACCTGGAATACCACAGAAACAGCCCAAAAGCACCTAACAATCACCAAGAAACACACTAACAACTTGAAATACCCCAGCAACCTTGCAGCAACATCATAGCAACTACCTGGAATTGCTATAAATCTAATTAAGTTATCAAAAACAATCAACTGTGTTCTGTTACTGCTTTATCTGTTAAAGCATTATTAGCTGGCTTTGTCAAGCCAACTTAATTTTTGTTCATAATCTTTTCTAGTTCAACTTGTTTTCATTTGCCAAGATATTGTCATCGCATTAACATGCTCTTTTTAAAGCAATCCACTGTTGTGCCTATCAGCAATAAATTGCTTACACGTCTTCAGAAATGGGACCTGACTCACCCCTGTTCCAATAGGATAGACTGGGACGTAGGCCGTGCAGGGCTGGAGCTGTAGAGGGTATCCGGGGTGCAGGTAGCCCACCGGGGGATGAGGGACAGTTCCTCCAGCCCCGTGTGTTTGTATTGTGTAGCCGTTTGCCGTCCCCTGAGGCCCGAGCGTCCCGCAGTGGAACTGGGTCTCCTGCAGGTAGCCCTCTGAGCCGGGGGGCGGAGGAGGAGCGGGGTAATTCGGTTGGGGGGCGCAGCCAGGTGGGGGAGGATGCGGAGGCATGTTTGGGTCCTGTGAGGGAAGGTAGGGCGGAGGAGCCATTTGGGTCATCTGCTGCGACATGGCCTGCCTACCAGCTGCCTCCTCTAGAGCTGAGATCAGACAAGAGAGAGACACTGAATATCAAACAGCACAGACAAAAACCACAACGTCTTCATGGATTCTGAGATGATTTGGGACAAACTGACTGGCTGCAGTTCACTAAGGCTTATCTACAAATCGTCAATGTCATATAAAAACCTTTTTTTAAACATCGTTTGAAAACAACAGCCACCCTTTTACACTAAGTGAACATGTCATGGTGAACGGAACTACAGAAATCACCCAAAATTATTAAAAAATCTTAAAATCTTATTTCATTAACAGATTATTAGTTTATTTATTTAATGATTGCTTTATAGGTATAGATACATGAGCATAGGAAATTACAAAAAAACTGTTAGTGATCTGGTGATTTGCACTGTTTATTGCTAGATGGGCCTTTAATAAAGCACCATTCATTCAATGGGTTAAAAAAGAAAAATGAAAAATGTTAAAAAACTTGATAGGAAATTTAGACATAGTTACAGAACTGGATGCTTTTAAACTCTACTTTAAAATTACACCATTCATGGAAATGTTTTAATTCATTAGAAAGAGATTTCCATATTTTAGCACCCTGTACTGTTAAAAACTGTTTGAGGACAGGACGTTTTGCAATAAGGAGCCTTGCGGTTTCCTGCAGCAGGGCCCCTGGTTAGAGAACATGCAAAACCTAGAGAAAACATGCAAATGTCTAACATTTGCAAAACAAAAGTACTGTATAAAGAGATAACTAGTTTATATATATTTGGGCAGCATGCCTGTAAAACGGCATAGACCAGCATGGCTGGTCACCAGCAAGACCATGAGCATATGTTGTGTTTTGGTCAACCAGCATGACCATGGTGAGGTGACGAGCTAAATTAGAACCACACCAGCACTAGACCAGCATAAACCAGTTTAGAACAGCTTAGAACAGCTTAGACCAGCATGTGCTATGCTGTTTTTTTTCAAGACAGCACATGATGGAGAATCTCAGATAGCCATGAATTCTTGGCCCATATGTGGCCCACAGCTGCAGTTCTCTTGACGTACAGTGTTAACTCAGGGTGAGTCTGGCTGCCTCAACTCAGCCACAGGTCCACCGTATGTGGGCCAAATCTGGGCCAAATAAATTTAACGTGCTCACCTTACATGGGCCATGTCTGGGCCAATCAGGGCCAATTGTTGGGTGGTACTTTATTCTGAGTGGTCCTTTTTAGATGTAACAAACAGTCAACGGACTCTCGGTAACATGTTAAAAACATGAGGGTTAGGTTTTGGGTTGAGGTTAAGGTTAGGGTTAGGATTAGGGCCAGGGTTAGGGTTAGATTTTGGGGAAGGTTGGGTAAGGTTATCCGCCCAGTGACTGCTGGGATGGGCTCCAGCTCCCCCCGCGACCCAGAAGGATAAAGCAGCTTTGAAAATGTGTGTGTAAGGTTAGGTTTTGCATAATGGAAGTAACATATCAACAACACATCTACTTAATGTAAGTAATGTATCAACAGAACGTCTACAAGATATTTACTTCAGTGTAATCAGATGCTTCACTACAGCTACTTCACTGATATGTTGTTGATGTGTTATTGATAATCTGTTAAGAGTTTATTAATCATCTACAAAGGACCACTCTAAATAAAGTGTTACCAATTATTGAATATGGTTCTCTATAGAACCTTTTTTGGAAAGGGCTACCCATAGCACCAAAAGGGTCCTTCTACTGTTACGGTGTCAAGCTTGTACTAATACCAGAACATTTTTTGGGTGCGACATCGAACCCTTTTCAAAAATGATAACACATTCTCCATCAATCTGAAGAACACTTTCATGATGCAAAGAACCCTTTAATCAAGCAATGGGTTCCTTGACTGTTCATGGCTCTATATAGAGCGATTTTCTTTACTAAAGAACCCTTGAAGAACCATATTTTTTAAATGCGTGAGGCAGACCAGTGCTGCACAGTTAGCCTGCCCATTGTGAGGCAGGATAAATAATGACCTTTTCCTGAATTTATATTTGAGTGAATAAATTTTCCCTAGTGAATAGTTTATTTTCAGGAACCCCCAGATTTTTGATTTTGAGACATGTTTTTTGCACTTTGCCTGTGTGTACAGTATATTAACATTAATGGAAGGAGTCGACAAATAGTTTGGGCACCAAATAGGACATTTCGTTTTAAACTAGGCTAACGCTGCTAACAAACACTAGAAGTCAATAGTCTTATAGAACATCCCCAAAACTTCCCCCGGCTCCCTTAAACCACATCCAGGCCTTCATTAAGGTCCCACAGACTTGTTACTGTTGTTTCGAGCACAGTATGACTTACTGTGAACCATAAAAATGAACAAAAACTGTGAACTGAACTGTGAAGTTATTTTAGACCACACCTAATTTCATACTTCACAGTTAGTCATACTGGGTTCTAAACCACGTTGAGATCTAGTGTTTTTTAGCAACTTTAGCCTTGCGGTTCCAGCGCTAAAGTAAAAAAGCCAAATTTGGACATGAACATGTCTCGGCTGAAGTGAAAGTTTGTGTAAATATAATTTCAGAATCGGAATCTTTATTTGACAATTACCAGCTGTACAAGGAATTTCTCTTGGTGCAGACGTCAACATCAAATTAAATCCAATAAAATAAATATAGAATAAAATATACTATATATAAACATAAAATAGACTGTACAGAAACAACACGTACAGATGCAAACAAAGACTGAAGTACATATATACAGTATGTACAGCAAAAAGCATTGAGCATCAAATCTAAATATATATGTAAATGTAACCATATTTGTAAAATATGTGTATTGCAACAAGTTAAAGTGCACATGTACGCTGTCTAAGTAGGAGAGCCTTTATTCAGAAGGCATGTCATGGCATATTATATACAGTGATTATGTACATTACAATATATGTAATAAATCTGTAAAATATTTTTTTCGCCAAACTTCCTTTAACAATTTTTCTTCCTCCTAAAATGCTACTGTTTCAGAGATGCAAGGTTGCAACTTAATAGCTAATTATATGTTAATAAGCAATTAAATATTCATTATTTATGTATTATTTACTGCTCATTAAGCATCAGTTAATGATAAGTTAACTAAGTTATTAGTTCACAGCCTATTTACTCATTAATTGTGCACTGACAGCTGCTTATTACACTGTTACTGAACTGATAAGTGTGTTTCTGCTTATAAATAAATGACATGAGAATTAGTGACTTATGAGTTAGTCTCATTAATTACATGTTAATCAATCTACTGACGGTTATAAATTAATTACTGCCTTGTTTTCCTCCTAGTAAAGTGATCACTTTTACTACAAATTATAGTACAAAATCAGGATTAAGACTTAATTACTCTCTCAAGCAAAGTGAAAGATATACATACCCGATCAATTAACATTTATTATAGACGATAACCGAACCATTCAGTTATTTATTAAACTAAAACAAGTCTGACACTTTCACATCTCATCCAGTGACATGGTTGTATACGGATCCCATGATTGGGTTTCCATGGTGTCGCTCCAAGAGAGCCCTTATGGCACCTTTGCTTATAAAGACAACTGTCTACACACATCTTTGAATAAGCAGCCTGTGTTTCAGGCCTAAGCTGTATGTCCATTTAAGTTTCGGCTGTGATTCACAGTGAAGTGTGTATAAGCTGGCCTTAATCATGAATTCGTAATATAATTAGTGTAGTAACAGATCTTCACTTCACTTAAAGGGACACAGAGCAGTAATTACTGGTGGTCAAGGGTGGAAATGTAGACAGCTCTGACTATAGTCAGGCAGCTGAACACGTGGAGGTGAAGGAAATTGTAACAATAAATCAACTGACTGATTAACAGATAATTAAGTGAACTGACTCATAAGTACTTGTTAGTTCTTATGTCACTTATTTAGTGTCATTAATAGTGTAACCATTTAATCTGTATTTAAGCTTTATATGTATATGTGTGTGTGTGTGTATATATAGCCTAAATACAGATTAAATGATCACACTGTAATATATATACATATATATATATATATATATATATATATATACATATATATATATACATATATATCGCTATACAAAACCTCGTATCTCCAAAATGGTAACTTTACAGGAGAAGCAAAAAACATACTTTACTTTTAATTTAAGTCAATGGAACCAGAATTTTTTCCAAGTAATTTTGGGCCGTTTCTTTTGGTCCATTCATCATGAAATTTACAAACAAACAATGTAAAGGACAATATGTATTTTCAAATTTTGTCACAAACTGAAAAACAACCAAAATGGAGATACGAGGTTTTGTTCAGACAGCAGCGCTATATATATATGTAGTTAGAAAGATAGATATAGATAGATAGATATATTTAGACATAGATATAGATATATAGTACTATAAAAATAAGTCAGGCCCCTTATGATAATGATTATCATAACGATTATAATGAAATGATAATCTACACTTGGTTAAGCAGCAAAGTGTTGCTGAAGGTTAGAGTGAGCTTTAAAGTATGTGTAGTTGAATGTAAGTCAAAGACAAAGAGAGCATCTGCAAATAACTGGACACTGAAACAATAATCGGCACTAACAGAACCAGAACATAAAACAGCAAAGTCTGAAAGTGTAAATACAATTATTTTTTCAAATATAGTGCATAATCATGAACTGATTATCAGATTAAAATAACCTGGAATGTATCCTCATTTAAAGGCCATATTCTCAAGTATAACACAAAGCGTCACTGTATCTGATGAAAGCCTTCTGACCACAGGTCAGGCTTGTTATCAGTGTGACATTTTACTGCTGCTGCTGTTTTTGGTGGTGTTGGTTATCATGTTTTTTCTGTTGTGGACAGTGTGTTAAAGGTTTCTAAAAACGTATCAATATAGTCTATAAAGTAATTATATTATTTCACACACCTATATCTGCAATGGGTTGGCAACAACGTTTTTCTTATTCAAAAAAAGAAAAGAAACAGGAAAACATACATTAAATAGAAAATTATGTTTAACAGAAAATTACACAGAATCCTCAACAACTAAATTTAATATCAGATTTTTCCGTATTTAGTGTGTCCATCCTTTCCACACCTCCAGTGATGTTGAGGTCTGGACTCTGGCGTGGTCAGTCCATTGTTCAGCTTCTTGGTTTGATGTGTCCGTCTCCTTTTCTCAGTGAGGTTCTTCTTGATCAGCTACACATCCTTCCAGACCCATAGCGCTGAGTCGTCTTCTCACAGTGGAAGGATGGACAGAAACACCTGTGGATGTTTTCAGATCTGAAGCAGCTTGATTTTCTCCTCTCTCTCAAAGATGAAAGCTTTAAGTGCTGTTTATCTGATGGGGACAGTTTTGGTGTCTACCAGGTCTTCCAGGTGGTTGTTAGGAGCCCCATTTTCTCTGTAGCTTTTAATCAATTTTGGACTCCAACGTTGGAAACTCTCATTTTCCCCCCTTCTTTCCTTTGACTTTCCCCTTAATTATGCACGTATCTTGTATAGTGTAAAGGAAACAAGCATACCCTGCATTCAATTTTGACTGCATTGTCTTCTTCAGTTCCAGCATTTCCTAGTGAGTCCATTCAAATCTTCAACAAATCTTGCTGTGCAACCTCTTAGCCAGTCAAGACTCTTCTGTGTTTCTAACATTTGGGTCCATCCAACCAAACAAGATCTGCAGTCTTCAGAATTCTGACATCTTTAGGAGTCACATTAAAGAGTGAAGGTATGCAAGACACTCCATATACAGACACTGTATATACTGACACTACCGCCATCATGTTTCATATAATGTCATATGAATGGATGAACATAGAGGACTGGAAACATTCAATTTTTTTCTTTGTTAACTGAACTTCTGCCAGTTGTGTAGGTGCCTTCAGCCTGCTGAGTCATTTGCCATTGCCAAGATAACAATGCAATAACAAGCAATTGATCCAGGCATGCTTAATACACTAAGTCTCCAGACGATTGCAGACACCTCTCATCCAGCATTTCTTCTGAAAGCAAGGGTATTAATAGTAAGTTTGTCCCTCTTTGCTGCAGTAACAGCCTCTACTCTTCTGGAAAGGCTTTAGACCAGATGTTGGAACATTGCTGTGAGGATTTGATTGCATTCTGCCACAAGAGCATTAGTGAGATCAGGTACTGGTGTTGGATGATCAATTCTGGATCACTCCAGCTCGTCCCAAAGGTACTGGATGGAGCTCCATCTCTCCAAAAAATGCAGCCCAATGCGTGAGGGCTTTACATCCCTCTAGCTGATGCTTGGCATGGTGACTATAGACTCACATGCAGCTGCTCCAGAGCATCCCATTCTATTGGTTAATGCTTCTCTGAAGAGATTATACAAGATGTGTGCGCAAGTGAGCACCTCTATCAACAACGGGTGCACCTTAAAGTGATTTCACTTATTAGAAGGGCTGTCTGGATACTTTTGAAGCTTGTTTACCATTTACAAGCCAATTTGGCTGTGGCTCGACACAAATCCGTGCCAGTAAAGTGTATTGATAACATGGGGCGGTGTGGGGGTTGGGTGTGTATGTGAGAGAGAGAGAGAGAGAGAGAGAGAGATAAATAGAGAGAGATGCTCGAGGACAACCCATTATGTAACCTCTGACATCGTCACTAGGGTAAAGTGGGAAAGGATGCAACGGTCCGAGGCACTGCAATTCATATATTGGGATGAGGGACAGAAAGAGAGACAGATGAAGCGATAGAGGGGTGGAGCAGTAAAACCAGTAAAATCAAATCAAAGCCATTATCCTTGTTCCTCCTCCAACCTGTGTCTGGAAAGCTGCAGATAAAATCTCCCTGCAAAACCCTGCTCGCCTCCCTGCACAGCAAATGAACCACCGCTTACATAAACTGCCATGAACCCCTCCATCCATCTCACCGGGCTTAGAGGCCAAAAGAGCACGGGACAGTTTCCACTTTAAATACATTACAGCCAGCAGCCTCTCATACATTTTAACAACAATAATTTGATGTCAGATGAAATAAATATAGATTTTTCCATACAACACCTCCCCCCCACTCCCTCCACATCCCAGCCCAGGCCAGAACACAGTTTAACGCAGCTCTTTCTGCCGTGTGCTGTTCTGTGTAATTAATATTTCTCCAGTAATATTTCCATATCTCTGGCCCAAAGAGGCCTTCACAGGCACATAATGAACCCAAAGTGCCCACAAAGCAAAGGAGCAGAATCAGTGCTGCAGTCTTCAGTTATCAGAAGCTTCATCTTCCTTTCACTCTCAGTCAAGACTATTTAAACACCCTCTAAACAGAAAATGTAGTTTTATGAATTGTATTTGACGTGTTGTGAGTAGAGCGATGGGACAGAGCGGTGCGCGTCCCCGTGGATGCAGCTGCACACAGCAGCGGGAGCGCGCAAACACGACAGAACGGTCGGAGTTTTTTTCCTACCCGTATTCCGACAAACCCCACCTCCTGCGCAGCGATTGGCTAGTTACGCGGTACGCCATCACGCAGCAAAACAAGCGCAAAAAAGCAAAGTTCCTGGAGGAATTTATTCGCATACGCAAATTTAGACATGAAAAGCGTATTTCCTCTTATCTGTAAAGGAACTAAACTGCATAAAAAGCTATTCTGACTTCCTAAAATCCTGAACTGCTGCCCAAACTGTCTAACAACAATTATCTTACATTTTTTTCAGTATTTATCTCTTTTTTCTGTGCCGTTTTGTTGTCTTTTGTATTTACTTTAGTACTGCGACAAACATAAATACTGAGATATCGTTCCACTGTGTTCTACGGTTGCTATGGTGACGACAACGCCTTCGTAACGGTCCGACTTAGTGGAGCTGCTACAAACTAGCCAATCACAGCACAGGACCCGGGCCATACCGCCCAATCACAGCGCTGAAGGCGGGACCTACTGGTCAAAACTACTGCGGGAGGCGGGACAGCATGAGCCAATCACAGCACAGGGGACGAAACATGAGCCAATCCCAGAGCAGGGAGGCGGTGTGTGTCAGAATACAGGTGGGGGAAAAAAAAACACCGCTGTATCGAGATCGTGCGTCACAGGCTAATAAGGACTGTAAATTAGCAGTTAAATGAGTAAAACGAAATGAACATGTTATAAACGTTTTTCATGCAGTGAAGCGTTTCGACTCAAAGAATCGAAAACTAAAGTAATGTGAACCGATTAACAGAGGTGCATTTAAAGGAAGCAAAACAAAGAAATTAATCAGGAAAATCTGCATTACCGTGTTTTTCCGACGACATCCCGTTGAGTTGTGCGATGCCTTTCAGCTGTCCCTCCACGATCCGCTTTGAGGGGGGAAATCAGCCAACACGTCTGTCTTTGTGTCGATTTAAAGCGTTAACATAAAAGGGAGAGTGGTGAAAATACCTCCAAGCTAAGAAAGCATCTTCAGATGACAGACCATCTCTGTCTAGCCCGGTTATTTTGCGGTAAATCCGTCTATGTTGCACTGTTTTTATTTTTTTTGTTCTATTCCAGTACTAGAGCAGCGCATCCACCTCTACCAGCGGAAAATAGGTTCCCTCAACGCCTCGCGTTACACTGAATTCATCAGGCGCACGGTGAGGCTGTCTTAAAGAGACAGTAGCATCTGTGTGGGACACTGACACAGGATCTCAAACCACTGGGAATAATTCATAAAGCAGGATGTCTCACTAAGCCGGATAACCTTGGTCAAAACTGGGGATTGGTCAGTAGAAATGACCCAGACATAGGCTTCTATTGGACAGCACGTTAGGCTTAAGTTATCTGGCTAACTAAAGCCCCCCTTAGAGAACGCACCCCTCTTAAAATACCAAGTGTACACACTGCTGAGGCTGGCTGCATGCTTCCACCCCCATTGATCTGAGAGAAAAATGTGTTCTCATGACTAACAGGGCTTCAATGATTTCAGAACGATACTGGAAAAATGACCACTCAATGGCTCTGCATTGATATTTAAAACTGTATCTGATACGCCCTTAGGCCTCATCTGGGGGTCCCTCATTTGCAGCCTTTCACAGAAAAAAATAGGCATCTTGGTACATCCTATCTGCTTTTGCATCCTTTACAGCTCAGTTGCATGCTTTTTATGGGCATGCTGCTTTGCAATCTTTTGTTGTTGAATACATTTTCAGAGACAAACCAATCTGTGCAGTGTCATTAACATGATGCATAAAATATCGAAAATCGTGTCAAATCTTGACCTCAGAATAAAAAAATGATATAGAATCTGCAAACAGTTGTTCGTTACGGCCCTTAATGACAAGTGACAGAAAATATTCAGCGTGATCTAAACTGACAGAGCTCCAACATTGCACACACAAACTTAGTCCAAACGGTCTCATAGGAGACTCTCCACCACCGATGATGATGGTGAGTTTGTGTAAGATGATTAACACTGACATCAGACACATGCACATAAAGACCCCAGAGTCAACACGTAATAACAATGAAGAACGCATTCAAATTGTATTTTCTATGGCTTCTGCAACTGTCAAAGATTCACATGAACAGCTAGAGAACCAGCTTGATTTGCGTGATATGCGCTGTTCTTGGCTGCCCCCTCTGGTGCAGTGCAAGCCTGCTGTGGAGATCTTGCCAGAGCCGGTTTACGGGGAGCCTGGCCTCTTCCTATTTCCCCCATTATATCAAAAACATGACTGCAAAACACCAGAGGGCGCCCACGAGCGAGTCCTTAATGAATGGGGGTGAACAGAGCTAAACGGCTAAAAACGAAAAGTTAAAATATTTTCTAATCACTCACCCAGAACGTTCCCTTAAATTTAGAAAGTAGAAGGATGTATTTCACTAAAACTTACCTGTATGTTTCCTGTTGTCTACAGCAAACAGGTACTGGGCTGCAGGACACTAACATTACTGCTACTGAGTGCTGATTGGTTGGCGAGCGGAGCAGCTCATTGTCTGTTCGCGCTCACTGACATCATGAACGTACATTAGGCACCGTTTTAAACTCCTATAACTCGAGTTCAAAAGCTCTTAAAAATATAACAGCGGTGTTAAAATGTTTTATGCTGTTCTGTGTTCACGTAATTCTTTTATATTAAAAATGCTTAAGTATTTATAAACTATGATTTTGCTCAAATGCTCCATCTTAACCCATTAGTTTTGGACTCGCTCTGGAGCGCCCTCTAGCGCTTGAGAAACCCAGAAGACATTACAGAGTGGGAGCTCTCCTCTCTACAAGTTCTCTGATTTTGCCTCAGTCAATCCACAAAAGCAGAGATAAAAATCCCGCCGATAAAAACGTCTCTTTAAGAAAACACATTCTGGAATGTGATGCTAGTTCAAAAGATAATTAAAACAATGTTTAGGTAAGGGACATTAATTAACATTATTGTAGAAGTATGGATTTAGGCGAAGCAATGTGGAATTTACTGCTTAATATGGATTATAAATAGACTAAATCAAAGGTGTTGGATAGTGTAGTGGATAAAACCAGCACTGCACACATTAAATTGAGTTTCACTCACAATGAGAGCGCCCTTTTCTCCTCTAGCCTCCAAAATCTATGTGCACATGTATTGCTTTGATTACACATATATCAATATATCACTGTAATATGATGAGATCTTTGACTTCAATCAACAACACTGCTTGCTTGAAAGACAGAGTGCAATGCAGACTCAAAGCACCACTGTTACGTTTTTCCTTTGTATTACCAAAGACGACAAAACGAAGGCCAAGGACTTGTTTCCATATACAGTGGAATTTATTACTGTATAATGTATTACAGTCCTGACCGGGTTTGTTCTCAGTATCCAATTCTGTACAGATTTCTTCTACAATCTGAGGCATTTCCTAGCAAAGCAGGCACACTCTTTCTCAAACACACACACAAAATGTAAACATGTGTTCTGTAATTCAAGTACATACCTGGATCAATTTTGCTACAATCGTTATGACTTAAGTATCTTCAGGCGGTCGTAGCCATGATGGCTGTAAAGCATCTCACTGTGGTGCTGAAAGGCCATTTTTCCTTCAGCAATTTATTCTGTTTTGCAATGCTTTTAGTGATAAATACAGTACAGTGCAAAGGCAGATCGTAGCCTTCATTCTTTTAATTTCCAGTCAAAATGGCAACTTTTTTTTAGCATCTTGAAAAAAATCGGTACAGAAAATTACACTGAAGCCTCCACAACTAAATATCATTTTTGTCAGTATTTAATGTGTCCACCTTTTGCCTTATAAAAGCTTCCATCCTTTTTTAGGAGACTTGCTTTCAGTTTTTCGAAGAAATCTACAATTATAAGTTTAGTCTTAGAAGCTGGTGGCACCTTCTGCTTCTCACAATCCAAATAATCCCAATTACAAATTTACAGTAATCAGTCCACAAACTTTATTCCACATCTCAGATGTCCAGTTTCGGTGTTCTAGTGCAAATGTTCTTATTTTGTGTCTGTCTCCTTTTCTCAGTGAGGTTCTTCTTGACAGCTACACATCCTTTCAGACCCACAGCGCTGAGTCGTCTTCTCACAGTGGAAGGATGGACAGAAACACCTGTGGATGTTTTCAGATCTGAAGCGGCTTGATTTTCTCCTCTCTCTCAAAGATGAAAGCTTTAAGTGCTGTTTATCTGATGGGACAGTTTTGGTGTCTACCAGGTCTTCCAGGTGGTCGTCAGGAGTCCCATTTTCTCTGTAGCTTTTAATCAATTTTTTGAACTCTAGTTTTGGAAACTCCTGCTTTTTCAATTTCCTTCCCTGACTTTTCCCTTCATTATGCAAGTGAATATATCGAATCTCAGTGACATCTCCTTTAGTCATTTTAGATGTACATGAAAAAAACATCTGAAGGCATCGAAGGTGAGTTGCTTGTGTGAATGTTACTGTCTCTAACATTGAAAGGGAACATTACGTCCTTTGGGAACAGATTTTGCTGGGAAGACACTAAATACACTAATAATGGGCAATATTTTGTTTAATATATGTTTCCTGTTTTTTTTCTGACACCAAAAAAATTAATCATTAGTACGTAATGGCTGTTCTGACTGGAAATTAAATAAACAAAAGTGAGCTCTCTGACTTTTGCACAGTACTATACATACATACACAAACATATGTATCCCTTTGATTAGGGCATTGCTTGGTTCATGCAGTCATCTCTAATTGGATTGGAGCCTTAAGTACATTTTCTTGTCCATCATTCCTCTCGCTAACACACTCAAGCAGTCGTGCTGCGTCCCTCGCTCTCTCAGTGCGTGTAGAGAGAGGCCGTGAACACAATGTCCCTGCGGATGGCCAATGATGCCCTCTCCATCTTACTGCCCAGCACGGAGTCTCCGACGATGCGAGCAGCCTGTCTCACCTCCTTCAGAACCTCGTCCAGTCTCTGAATACAGCGCACCACCGTCCCCTCCTGCACATCCGTCAGCTGGGCAATCTCAGCAAAAGGCTGTAATAGAGACAACGCTTTAATACTTAGCACTACAGTGTAATGTAATACAAATGCATGTAGGCAATGATCTGCTGATGCACGAAATATCTAAGTGATACATCAGCATATCGTCACTGTCCAAAGAAAACCATGCATCTCCATTTATGTCGCTTTTTATTTTTCTGCATCATTTCAACACACCAGTTGTCCTTTACGTTGTGTTTTATGATGAATGGACCAATAGAAATGCTCTAAAATCACTTGGAATAAAATCCCTTTACATTGACTTACATTGAAAGGTAAGAGTGTTTTTGCCTTCTCCTGTAAAGTTACTATTTTGGAGATACTTGTTTTTCTTTGGACAGCGACGATATCAACAACAGACCTCTTAAGTTGTGTGTCATCCGGTAGTCAGGGTCATGCCTGCATTAGGAACTTTTTGGAAAGCACCACTATCATGTCCTTTGGTAAACAAAATGGTTCCAAACCAGGTACATTTTGTCCTACATGCATTTTTCCCCCAGAACGTCACTGGATCCTCTGAATTACGAGCTCGTTAAGAAGTCAAAATACATATAATACTACATACACTATATGGCCAAAGTATGTGGACACCCCTCCTAATTATTGAGTTCAGGTGTTTCAGCCACACCCATTGCTAACGAGTGTATAAAATCAAGCACATAGTCATGCAATCTCCATAGACAAACACTGGCTGTAGAATGGGTCGTAGTAAAGAATTCAGTGACATCAAATGTGGCACTGTCATAGGATGCCAACTTTGCCAAAGTCATTTTGTGAAATTTCTGCCCGTGTAAGAAATCATCTATCCTCTGTTGCAACACTCACCATAAAGCTCCTCTGGAAGCAACATCAGCACAAGAACTGAACGTCAAGAGCTTCATGAAATGGGTTTCTATAGTTGAGCAGCTGCACAGAAGCCTAAGATCACTATGTGCAATGCCAGGCGTCGGCTGGAGTGGTGTGAAGCACACCACCACGGAACTCTGGAACGTGTAAAACGTTCTCTGGAGTGATGAACTGCATGTCGCCTGGAAGACCGATGAACGAATCTGGGTTTGCCGAATACTAGGAGAACGCTACCTACCGGAATGTATTGTGCCAACAGTGAAGTTTGGTGGAGGGGGATAACGGTCTGGGGCTGTTTTTTCAGGGTTTGGGCTCCTCAGTTCCAGTGAAGGGCAATGTTAATGCTTCAGGATACAAAGACATTTTAAACAATCATGTGTTTCCAACTTTGTGGCAACAGTTTGCAAAACGCTCTTCCCTGTTTTAGCATGACTGTGTCCTTGTGTACAAAGCGAGCTCCATAAAGACATGGGTTGATGAGTTTGGTGTGGAGGAACTCCAGTGGCCTGCACAGAGTCCTGACCTCAACCCCACTGAACACCTCCGAGATTACCTGAATGGTTGATTGTGAGCCAGACCTTAACGTCCAACATCAGTGTCTGACCTCACAAACGTTGCTTTGACTGAATGCGCAAA